TGGGAGTTCTACTTATTCTACTACAAGTCCTATTGTATCGTTCTAACGATACGCCGCCCGCGGCCGCGCACGCTGGCGGATTCCAAAAGGATGGATACCTTTGACTTGAGAGTTTTAGTGGTTTTAGTTGTTTTAGTGGTTCTTCAATCTTCAATCCATCCACAAGAGTCCACAGAGCCCCACATTGTCCAGACCCCCTTTCATGTGCGACCTGCGACTCCCACAGTGGCACCACACCAACCGGGCGAGCCATGCCGAGCCCCGCCCGCCATCGGCATCGGTCCGAGGTCCGGACCGCGAGGTGTATCAAGCCTTGATGCTCCGAAGCCTCCGAGAGGGGGACCCGGTGGCTGTCAGGTGCGGGGGGGGGAAGGAAGGATTCTGGGAGGAAAGGGATGGTTGAGGACCTTGGACAAGTCCAGCTTGTTTTTGGTTTGTATTTGTTTGATTTTTGGGATGATGGAGGACCTTGTGGTTTTGGTGAAGGAGAGCGATGTCGTGAAATGGCTTTTGAGTGGATGGTGAATGGATGGAGGGTGCGGCAGTAGACCGAACGAATTGATTTAGAGATGGCAACTGGATCTGGTGGTGAAGTAGACCATTATGCCGTTCCTTTCAATCTGTTGCCAGAGACACCTAGCAATAACCCGAAGTCCATTGCCCCCGCCACGCCCCGAAAATGGTGTTAAACATTGTAACACCGCAACATTCAGACAGAAGGACAATGCAAATTCAATGGCACCATTGAGTGTGGACGAAGGCAAACCTCAGCAGAGGACCAGAAGATCCACAGTTGAACTGGTCGGTTTTTTTGTCCAAACCTTTTGCAGCCTTGAATCCCGTTGGAGGGGAATCTTGCTGGTCTTTCAGTCTTGAGCTAGCCCATGCTAGCCCCCTCCCACGGACGATCAGATGAAACAGATGTGGCCACGTTGTTCTCGACCGCCTTCGGAAGCACATGAAAGCACCGACCGGAGCCGACATCCCGGAACTCGCCGGAGGCAGATCTTGGACTGGATGGTCTTGAAGGGCATTAAGCTCAACAGGGGCATGTACAATCTGGCAGGGGTGCCAAATCACGGCGAAAAAGCGCGCGTAGACTATGGACCTGATCATTGTAACAAACATATGTCTCATTTTTCGCGTGTGTTTGTGTACGACTTGTGTGCACTAGTGTTTTGTTTTTGTTTGTCTCAAAGAAACGCTTGAAATCAGCTTAAAGGAAAGAAAGGAACCCTCCATTGTCATTGAGAAACACCCATGCCAGATAACAAGTAACAGGATGGTGTCTTACTAAATGTATCACCCCACGAGTATACTCGGGTCACGGCCTTCTGCAGCCTAATTATCTTCTGTGGAGGCTTTGATATTTGTTCGACATCCTTCCCTCCACTCGCCATGTCCGGCATCCAGCCGACCTTCAGATTCAGCCACTGATCCCATGCACGACTCAGATCTCCGCACTTCGGGCATTGTCGCTTTCTCGACTCCGAGGCGATCCGCGCCTTCGCGGAGGCCGGCGAGGCCGAGGGCGCCGAAGAGATCTTCCGGAGGCGCGTCTCACGGCGCGTGGCGGTTGGTTCTTCGGGGTGGGTCTTTTTAAGGAGCAAGGGCATCACTACTAGGGGCTCCTGGCATCGCTACGAACGGAGCAAGAACGCTACGCACGGGGCTCCTGGCCGTAGTACTAGGAGCAAGTAGCTACTAGTAACAAAAAGCTACTAGTTACTAGGAGTTGGGACCTCAGGGGGAGGAAGACAAGGATGGGATGAGAATGGAAGACTCTGTCAGGACGGTGGCGTGTCAACCTTTTTGGGTTATTTAGTGGCTCCAGGGCCTGCAGGAGGGGTGCACTAGCAGGTTCGGGCTGCACAAACAAACCTTGAAGCAATCGAGAAGGCATTTCATGACTTTTCGAGTTGAGGCCCTCGTATGATTCACAATCATAGCTCACTGTTGCAGGCTGGCGGCAGGGTCCAGGTTGCACGCACAATTACAAGTTGATCTAAAGATTGCGTAGACTCCACTTAGTGGGACCCATGCAAGCACATGGCCTTGGCGGTTTGGCCATGGCCCTGGGCCGCGTGGCCTCCCGCCTTCGCTTGACGAAGCGCGGCAACGCGCGTCCTCGTCTGCCGCTACTGCCCACTCGCCATGGCAGTTCGGGTGCATGGCACTTGGTGCAGGACCTGAAGCACGCTGCAGTCGCGGCAGGCGAAGAGGAACAGCGAGGATTGGGGTTTCAGTCACCGCTGCTGCCGAAGCAGAAGCTGCAGAGCTTCATCAGACGTGCTCAGGAAGTCTTGGGGCAGGACACTGAGGTGGGTGAAGAACGGAAAAAAGGGAACACTAGTATATAGAGTGAGACACACACACATGTACACTAATATGTATCACACATAATTATATATTATCATATGTCACCTGGATCTTCCCAGTGACCTTTTGATCCCCTGGTTTGAGGTCACTTAGGCTTGTAAAAGGTCACAGGCACTCCAAAAAGGTCACTGGGAAGGTCCTGGCACGGAGCTGTTGTATTTTGGAGGTTGGTTCAGTTGGTTCAGATCTAATCTATATTATACATGACAGTTCAATATACGGATGCACCCCGTTGGATCCGAAATGCGTTCTTGGTTGAGACGTGTGGAGCCTTTTGTGAGGCGAAAGTGGCTGTCTATTACTGGCTCTCCAAGTGCGCTCAAGGCTGCGATAGTAGTGAAGAGACCAGAGTTCTGGAGGACTTGCTTCTGAAGTTTACCAGCGAGGTGAGGCATGAAGCCATGTATTTGGGTTTCAACTTCTGAAGTTTTACTCTTTTTTTTTTCCAATTTGTAGACCATTGAATCCAATCAATATGGGTTGGTTCCGGCTCTTTTTTGTCAACTTCTATTGTCACCAAATCTAATCCATCGATGGTTGTTCTTGCAATTCTGCGGGACATCTACTGTAATTGGCACGCATGCCACCATATGCCACCTCTTATCATCTCTTATCAATCTGTTTGATCGATTCGAGGTATGGCAATGAGACCAAACTGTTGAAGATTTTGCGCACCTTGATCATCTCCCGCAACCGCAGCTTGGCAGGAATATGTCCACCATCTCATTGTGCGCGTCCGGAAAACGGCTCAGATGGGCGACCGGGAGACCCCTTCAATCGATCCACTACCAAGTTGTCGTGAAGGCTTTCAATGTCTCAGAGGTTTAGCACCTGCGTTTTTCGACTGCGGCGAACCTGCATGGGTTCCACGGCCTCCAGGTCCAACGCCATTCGTCCTCCGTCTCACCATGGGGGAAGCCAGGTCAAAAGATCCAGAGCGCCTTGGAGAGCGATGCCCAACTGCAGATGGATCAGCTGGCCTTGGAGCTCCTCTCAGAGTCCATCCCTCGCTTGCAAACACGACATCGCTTCTCGGATGGGATCGGATCGGTCCTTAAAACCGTGTTTTTTGGGGTTTTTGGAAGTTCGGAAGTTCGGAAAACTCCGCGTGGAGAACCGTGGTGGAGAACCATCAGCTCGTGGATTATATCATTGTCACTGAGGAGATCGCCTTCAGTACTCTTTGAAGTTCAAGTGTTCTTTCCCTGTGTTCAGGAGATGTTATTTCTTTGAGGGAATCACAATCTGTTCGTCCCGTCCCATCCCATCCAGTACCGTCTCACCCATCCAGTCACCGCCCATGTAACTCCTTCCGATCTATCTTGAGGTCATCTTCAAACCTTCCAACTCTCGAGCTTCTTAGCCTCCTACGCAGCCCTGTGGCGCCCTTCCTATCTCCCGATCTTCGAGGCCTTCGCGCCCGAAGTGCTGCGACGGCTTCGTGCAACGCGTGCGACGCGTGCGATGTGCGGCGGGCGCCGGAACCTGGAGTCGATGATCGCAACAGTGGAGTCGTTGCCCTTCATCCTGGACTCCTATGCAAAGGTGGGGGGAACTGGGAGGTGCTTGACAATTGGAAACTTCCAATTAGTCAAAGATGTGTGGATTTGGGCAGGTTTGTCGAGATGGAGCAGTTGGGAAGGTTTGAGAACAGGTTACAGTGGTTACAGTAATTACTTGTGTGTTGACGTGCTTTTCAAGCGCCCGGCCTTCCCTAGGTCAAATGTGTGCACGCAGAGCTCTTTGCGACAGCCCTTGCTTGGTCTCAAGAAGCGATGCATGAGCTGCTCGGTCGTAAGCCACAAAGAGGTGCGATCCATGGAGGTTAGGGGTGCCCAGAACATCCACTCACTGGATGAGACAAAACACCACCCCTTTGTGACTCCTGGATGCTTCTTGTTACTAGTAGCGCTGTCCTCCAACCTAATAGCAATGCATGCCAAGATGGGACAGAGTGAACACTACCTCCGTCAGTCGGCATTCGGCCTTTGATGTGTCTGGTGTTGCTGATTCTTCTTGGCATACATCTGTAGTAGCGTCCTTGCTCCTAGCCCGCTCCCAGAGGAAAAGCCAATCAGATTGCTTTGGGCTGTTTAAGTTTCAATGAACAAGATGATAGGATCATAGAACCTTTGACAAGCCAGTGCTTCTTCGGTTCATTCTACTAGAGCACCACATTTTTTTGCACCAAACACCCCGTTTATAGATCCACATAATTTCACTATAATACATCTATATATACTGTATTATACTGTATTGCTGGTGAAAGACTCACAGTTGCTGTGAGTCAAAACCAATGGATGTGTAGGCCGACTTTGTTCTTTTTGTGTTTCCACTGGGGCCGCTAGGATCCCAGCATTGTGGTGCAAGGTACCCATTTCTTGTACGTGCCAGAGAGTTCCCAATACTACGGCACAGTACCTCGGATATTTTTCCACACTTATCCTAAAAGGCCTTTGAGTCTTCCTTCCCAGCAAGGCTTTCTTACGACTCCATCGCTATCATTACCACGGCAGTAGCTCGTGCTGGCTTTCAAGACCCATCGTTCTGGCAAGCGGTTCAGGGGCAGATTCGATCCTCGTCCCCGCTGGACCTTTTTGCACGTCACTGGACCACTGGACATGGGAAGTCGCGGCGGTCAACATCGTAGCCTTGGGGGACGGCAAAAGTATTCAACTGACCAAGTTATTGTTCATGACTTAAGCAGAACTATGGAGAGCTCAACGGTCCCTGGGTCCCTCCATCAGACTCATGATTTCAGATGCCTTGAAACTCGAGGATCTTCAGGACACCTTTGGAACCTCCGAGCCCTTGGCCGCGTCTGCAGCGCTCTTCGACGGCTCTTTTGGTCCCCCCGTTCCGCACGCTTCGAGGAGCGCATTCGGTCCGGCGGACGCGGCGCGACGCGGACGCGACGCGAAACACCGGCGCCTTCGCCGCTGCGGAACGGGGAAACCGCAAGGCGTTCAGTCGGAAGAAACCGCACAGCCTTGGGTTCGGTATTGAACATATTGAACCCACAGCAAAAGACTACGTCCATCGGGCGGAAACCAGCAGTTGGTGGTCTTTGGGATGGATGATCCACTTAGGAAATGAGTACTTCTACTATAGCCTGGTGAGCTATTTCCAAGTCCTTTGCACGGTGGGATGGTTATGGATGGTGGGCCAAAAGGGTCGGACTCCATTGCGGCGAGATTCTTTGTCCAGACAAAATCCTGCACCTCTAGTGGTAAAGGTATATTTGCATTTTTTTGCAGACATTGGCATATCCCAAATGCCTCAGATCTCCTACTAGCATGATCTATCTATCCTAGGTAAACATACATGTTTTTTGCCTTTAACAATCAATTTATCTTGCGTTTCATGTTGCTTCAAGCCATCTCTCTTTTCATCTCTTGTTTGTTGGCAGAATGCCCACACATGCCGTGGTGGCCCACAGGAGAAATCTCTACAGAATCTCTTCCAGCTTCTCGATCATCGACGTGCGCAAATGTTGCGCGTAACGGAGTCCGGCGGGCGTGCAGTTTGTGCCCTTCTCTGAATCTCAAGTAGTGGAATGTTGCCTGTTGCAACTATATAAATCACCCAATGTTGAAGGCATCTCAAGCAGGTCTCGCGCCACTTTTGTATGGCTGGACCAATAGTTCTGTACGCTGGCAAACGCGATAGATATCATCATTTATTAGCTGCTCAAACTACAAAGACATAATATAGTATTTATCGTTATTTCTATTGTGTATCCCTACTACCCGTTTTGGAGGGTTACGGCTTAAGAGGGTTGAACCTTAACACGCACTGTAAACACTGCTGCCTTCTCACTTCGACCACAAGCATGAGATATTTGTCTTCCCAAGTATCAGCTAGGACCTAGGAAAAGACGTGCAGCGTGATCAGTTGGGGTGACTCAAGTTTCATATTTGTATATTGTATAATAGTATATAATATACAAGTATATATATATAATAGTATAAAATAGAATTAATATATATATATATGTATATGTTATAATGTATGCATGTTTGAGATGATTGAAGCAAATGGGGCTTTGGCACGAGTGTAAATTCACTTAGGGGTTATTTTGCTTTGCACATGCGGTACTCAATTGCTTCAGCCACTCATACATTAAACAACAACCATGATGGTGTCAAGCATTTTATACAAGCAAGACAAGCTGAATATGAAGACTCTAAGACTTGAAGACAAGGAGCAACTGCCAAAGGGGCAGACTAACCACGAGGGAAGAGGAAGCATGCAAGACAAATCGATTGATGCTTCCACGACTTGCTTCTCAGTGAGTGATGCTTCTCACCAAAAACAACACGTTCACAATCTAGGGGATCTTTTACGATCCTTTAGGAGCTTTGTTTTCAAAACAGAGCCCTTTCCTCTTCGCAAAGAACAGATTCAGTGAGTGGCTGTGGTGTGCTAGCTGCTAGCACCAGAGCAAAGGACTTCAATTTCCACAAACTGTACACTTCTTTACTGTAAGAGGTACTGTTTTTTTTAGAATTTCGTAATGACATTCCAAGATCGAAGGATGCAAAGGGCCGAATAGGACCCGTTCACATTCAAATTCGGATATCAAGTAATGAGTCCCAAAGTCTCAACAAAACAATCGATAAATTGAGTGCTTGATCACACGATGATAACTCCCGAAAGAAGAAAAAACACCGCAGACAAGCATGCCGTTAACGCGTTGAACATGGAATACAACACCGGTACAGTAGATGAACGAGGTCAAAAGCCCCTGAATGGAAGCCTTATGTAGTAAAGTGTCCCTTTTCGGGATCTGAATGCTCTTAAGAATGGTATTTAAGAATAGAAAGAGCAAAACAAGACAAGCAACTTCAGTAAGAAGCGCCTTGTGAAGATTCATGCAGCTTCCCTCTTTTGGTGCGCAATCGTAAAGCACATTGAAATATAGAAAAAGAGTTCAGCAAGACATGTATGAGAGGGAGAGTTAAGTTATAGTATAATAAACAATCAATTACCACGCGTCGACAAGCCAAGAAGGAGCCACTGTTCAAGCAGAGTGATTGCAAAGAGGAATGGCCACCAAGAAAGGCAACAAGACAACAAAAAATAAATACCAAATAAAACAAACCTAGGATTATGATGCAATGGATTCATTTGGTCTAAACGACAGGCTTGTATTTTTTTTTGTTATTGTTGTTTTCGGTTGAGCTGGCTGACATAGATTGAACTGGAGCCCAACCCTTAATTTGGCAACACAAGCAAAGCAATCAAAGGTGTACCCAATACTAGGTGTTACACACTTGTCCATTTGCTTGATTATGTTTGATTGTTTTTAGTTTTGTCCATTTGTTTGCAAGCTGAATGACAACTCAACCCAAAAAGAACGTCACTATTGACCGAATACCCTTATTGCACACGTATGAATTCGTTGGTTTGTTTTTGGTTGTGGTTCAGTTGTCACACAGTTGGAGCCGGCACTGGAGTTCAACCCTCAGTCCCTTGTTTGGTCAATTCATTTGCACACCACGTTCCATCTACACACCCCTTTGACATGATTAACCGATTAGCCAACTTGTCGCAGAAAGTGAAGCAGCAGCAACTCAGAGCACAGAACTGCGCACTACTGTGATAATGTAATATATATATATATATGGTACCTCCACTACATTAAAAACAAAAACACCCAAGACATACATGAAACAAACAAATCAATAATTAATGAGCCAAACACGCTGTGAAAGAACAACAAGTTCTGCAAAGAGGTGGGTGGCTCTTACCCGTGCGTGTATATATAATATACATATAAGGTTCATATTTGTTTCCCAACCCAAACACATTCTAGGATGATGGCAGATTCGGAGTCCTTTTACTGACGTGGGAGGGCTGGGGTCTTGGAGCTCACGGCTGTGAGCAGCTGCTGTTTGCCTCAGGCTTGCATCCTTGGAGATGCTCCGGAGAGATGAGGATGAACTGTCCTTTCATGAAGTTGGAGAGATCTTGCTTGGCTTGATCATTTGTCCTGAAGAAGACTTACCACCGTGGCAGGATTATTATTGGGAAATGATTCTAGGGTGTTCGGTCGGCACAAAGCAGCCAAGTCTGAATTGTATGAGAATATGGGGTGAAGAAGTAGGTCTTTTTGCCTGGGCGTCCGCAAATCACATGAACATACCCATCTTCCGACCCATCAGGATCTTCAAAGCTTGTGCTGTCGTGTGATCATGAAGAGACTGGATGCTCCGCCGATTTACTTGTGTCACATGTTCTACGCCTTCACGGCCTTGGACCTCTTTGAGTCAGGACGTCGGACTTGGGGGTCGGGGCGATCCGGGCGTTGGGAGCTTTCGCGAAGGGGATGATGAAGTCCGGTCGTTCGTCGCTTGGACGGCTCGTTTCTGCGTTGTTGGCGCCAGTTGTCTCTCGCGACAGGAGAAGCCGCAGAGGGAAGAGAAGGAGCTGAAGAATCTCCAGTGCGTCAAGCTCATCAGCGGGTCGCAGAGGCGATCCTGCCTGTTTTCAGCGTGTGTCTCGCGCCAGAGGTGGAGGTCATGGCGCAATCATTGCTGGCCTTGTCACGTCGTGCATCCTCAGAGCACTTGAGTTCCTTAGGCGAGTCTCTCGGGCGAAATGGACAGACATGGACATCCTTTCTCACAGAATACATTGAAACAATGGGCGCCAAACACAAGCCTTCCCCCCGGCCTTCACGCCACACCATGACATCCCTACCCCACCCACTAAGCATCCAAAAAGATCCTGAGGACCTCAGCCACCAAAGCCGAACTTTCACGTCTCCACTGCTGGAGGCTTTCGGCTCTTGCTCTTGGTCTCGCAGCGCGAGGCGGTGCGGAAAGCCAACGACTTCGACTCCAGTCGCCTCCAGCGCCTGGGCGCCGTCCTGGCGGCGGCGGCCTGGCCGTGGCGCTTGCGTTTGCTGCAACCTTGGTGGCTGAGCTGAGAGGGGAAGGACCGGTGGATCCCAGCAGTGCTTTTGGATTTGGAAAGAAGTACAGAATCTAGACAACATCAGGAATCGTCAAGAGGTGCTTTGTTGCTATTATCATCTATTATCTTCATCTCATCTATAAATCACGAATCATGAACATAATATAGCTTCTCTGCCTGAACCTGCGCAGTTCCTCAACATCTTTTGCAACCTCTTTCCATCAATGCCACAGAAATCCGGAGCCTCCATGCCCTTCCCCGCTGGTCCCTCGCCCGCCTCACGTCCCCCTCGCAGCGATGTTGAAGCACCCAGGTTTCTGCCGGAGCTCGCCCGGGCTCCGAGCGGCCAACGCTCTCCATGGCTGCTTTCCGCGGCGGCGACGTCCACGGAGCCGGCATGGCCGCCGTGCGTGGCGTGGCACTTGGAGCGCGAAAGCGGGGCGCAGAGAGCTCGATGGGCGCTGGAAGAGGTCTATGGCCCTGGGAAGCTCATGGGATGGGAGGAGAATGGGGATGTGTTCTCATGTTTTTACCCTTGCACATTTTCTCTTCTAGAGTTTTGATGAGTCTTGCATGGTTGTGAGTCAGAGATTCGGTAGACCATCGTAATTAGTCCTATTGGATCCTATTGGTACTTGGCACAGTAGGACCCAAGTAAGCATTCAAAGAGTCGTTCCGCGACCTATGTTTACTGTTTAGATCTGTTTAGTTTAGTATAGAAATTCCAAAGCAAGGGTGTTTTTGCTTCTCATAGCAGCCACAGTGGATAAGTTTAGCCGGAACTCTTGAGATTGTATACACGCCCTTGCCGCTGTCAAAAAGGAAGGCATCATCTCAGAATCTTGTTCCATCAACAATATACCTTCGAGGCCAGTTTTACTAGAATGCTTCCACGTGATATTTGTTGCCTCAATTGGAGAATCTGAGCCTTTTGTGAATGCCCTGTCAGGAGGACCTTGGATGACTCAGCCCGGACAACGCTGCCCTGTTCACAGATAGCTGGCAACGGTCTTCGTCAGAGCTGATGACATGAGAGATATGTCATGAAGGCATGGACTCTGTGGAGAAGTGAATAGCAAACAGTTCTTGGACAGCTTGCAGATGTGATGTAACTCCTTGCACGATTTGCAGAGATGTGGATGTATGCAGCCTGAGCTGTCTAAATGATCCCAGGCTGCATTGAAGTTCGGTGAGTCTTAAAAGTGGCCCACACCGATCAGATGTTGAGAACTCGCCGGGAGAGAACTCGCCGCTGTCTCGCCGGTGTAATGATCGGACCAAAGCGGCAAAAGCAAAACGACGGCCTCCCTCGGGACCTCGCAGGTCCGAGGAGATGATGGCCCGTAGACTCGCTGAGAAGCCCGGTCCATACGGTCAGCATGGAGCATGGGTCTTTTTCAAAGGCCTATCCGATGATCCAGATCCAGGAGATTGTTCTTTGCAGGATTTGGATGTGTTCCAGTTCTTTCACACGATATGAATGATGGACGTGTAGAGTTTGTAGTCATAGTCCATTTGTATCACAAACTATAGGGGCTCATTGGAGCCGCTGGGGCCGCTCAGCGCCGCTCACATCGGGTCGAGCACAGCTCTCCCGCTGCCGGTCGACAGGTGAAAGAAGGGCAGCACGAAATGCAAAAGATAGGGTTACTGCCAGTATGCGATGGGAACATGGTGCTGCAGTGGCATCAGTTGTTTGGCACAGTTATCCGTGTCTTATGTGCGGACCTCTGTTGAACCGATGTATGCGAAGTGGGCCTCCATGGACCCTGTTTTGCTTTTTTGATGCAAACACGTGCGACATCAAGCTTGACAATGGTATTCAATGCTCTGAATCATGGATCTGCAAAAGAACAGCAACTAACCTGACTTGGACTTGGTGAGGTTGGGAAGTACACATTTTCTGATACTTCTATATATTATATACATACATCAGATTTTGGGAAGGTATTTCCTGACATGATCTGAAATGGCTGCCTTTTTGGCTGTCCACGACTGCTGCCAGGCTACAAGCTGCTGGCCGCGATCCCGACGAGAGGAGACCTGTGCGGGTGGACGCCTGATGAACACATGACACATCGTGGTCAGGCTACACGAAAAGATCCGTCGGGTCCCGATCAGGGCGACGAGTTTTGAAGGAAGATGTGGCAGGCTGTGGAATTCACTGACCAACAGGAACTCATATGGAAGTGTATGGTCAGATACAGATATAGTCAGGCTTGTTTGAGTCGGGCTTCCACCTTCCATGGAATGGAGGACAGTGGATGTACCAGACTGCGCCGTCGGGGCCATTAGACTGTCCGATGGGGCAGCCAGGGGGAGCTTTGACCCCATGCCTATAGGAGCTTCTTCCACCTCATTGATTGCCATGCAGCGGGGCCCAGACTGACTTTGGGTGTTGTGACAGCACGTGACGGTGCTCGACACGGTTTGCGCAGTTTGAGCCATTCAACTGATTCCAGTTATTGCATCCATTTTATTGAATTGGTATGCCGAGAAAGGGGGATCATAAATGAAGTAAAGGAGTCCGGCACAGCACGGGAGAAGGGCACAATCTTCGCGTATCCTCCTCGTAGTGTCAAAATGTTAAGTCACCAAGAACAAGCACCACTGCAATCTGACACCAACACCCCCAAGCAGTACCCCAGCCTCAAAACGAGGAGGGTCGTTTTCAGTGGCACTTGGTTCCAATGGGTTTGCGCCTTCAATGGATGTGTTTTTCGGGAGCTCTTGGTTTTACACACCCAACTGTTTCAGATTGACCTCGACGACCAGCGATTTGAGCGTCATCGCGTCACACGCGATGTCACGAGGTGCGGCAAAGAGCGATGGAAAAGGCGAGAGACTGGTCGGGGGCGCTGAAAAGAGTCGTGTGACACCGACAGGGGTCGATTCCGTCGACACGCGGTCGATTCCCATGCATCGTTTGCATTCACATGCGTTTTTGAGCTAGTGCTAGCTCACACGGCACGATGACACGATGCACGTGTATTGGAGTATGCGCCAGCTTGGAGGAGTTGGAGGATTGAAAGGCTGATTGAGATGATTGAGGAGTCCAGGGAGTAAACCGCAGTGGGCCCCACAGGATGCCTCACTGGTCCTTTGGTCACACACGTTCAGCATAGAACACCAGTGAGGAAGACTCCTGCCGTTCCCAAGCCAATTTGTGACACTGATCATGTGATGGCAGCCCGGTACTCCCCAAAACATCCCAAAACCTGAGGGCAGTCCACCTTCAGAGGCTCTTGTTTTTCGCTGGGTCGCTGGTTGGTTCTTTCTTGCAAACGACCAGTTCTCGGTTCGATGTAGCTTTACAATCGAACGCCAACTGTTGATTTTGCTGATGGGAATCACGACTCCACTACTTTGCAGTCGTGGAAGTTGCCTCAACCGCCTCCACCGACTCCGGATTCAGCAAGTTAATCTGACATTCGAAATACTGGAAGGTCCCAAATACTTTTTTAAATCTCCTCTCGAATCAGAGGAAAGGGGTGTGGACGCACACATAACGCATGACAGCTTGTCACATGGCGGCTGAGGCTAGACCAGATGCTGGAGATAGGTGTGAGGCCCGGCATATTTGGGCACACGCAGTGCAGCTCGCAGATAGTTTTGCACATTTGATCTTGCTGTTGCAGAGCTGGTCTGATTTTGGTTCAGGCGCTTGGCGTGGTTGAAGCAGTTCTTTGGTGTGGCATTTCAACGCAAACTCCATGGCGTCATGATGCTTCATGTCGTAGGGGGGAGGTCCGATCCAGGTTCTCACTTCAGAGGGATGGTTTGGACCATGGGATTTCGCAGTGGCCAACATGGATTGATGTCCTCCAAAAGCTCCGAGCTCGTGACGAGCGTTGTTCCACGGTCTTTATCGTTTGCAGAGGCACGGCACACATGCACACAATAATAATAAGTGGCAAGTGGCAATAGAAATGCTGCTTGGCTGGAACTCTAATGACCCAGTGGCGCAAGATTGACGAATCCCTTCTCCTCATCAAGAGGACGGTGATGCCATTCTGTGAATGAGAGAACTCTGACCGCGCAACGAAAACTAGAGGCCTTTGGACACAAAAAAATTGACATCGCTCCCATGTATCATCCGCTATACCATTCTGTGTTTCACCGTGCTTCGCTTCTTCGCCTCTCAGTCTGACCTCGTTCGCCGCTCCAGGCCTTCGTTTCGCATCTACGCTGCTCTGGCTGCTGGCTATGCCAGGACAGGAGATGTCGCCAGCACCAAAGAGCCCGGTCCTGAAAGCCAGGTGATCCAACTGAAGCAAGAGCCAGGTGAGAGGAGCAACCCTTGTTTTACACGAAAAAACATCGAGCGCGCCCGTCTGACAGATCTTTTTGCCCTCCCAAGACATGAATCAGCCGCTGCGCACGCGGCATGTGTAAAGGCAAACATGTATCGAGTGAAGTGTCAGAAGATCTTTATCACTAGCCGCAGCCGACTTCTGAAAACAAGTGGATAAATAGAGGTAGCTATCAGTTTGGGCAATCCAGGTACTTGTGCCGGGGTGTCCATGTCCTCTACCCCTGAACAGCTTCCATTTTTTCTGCCTAAATTCCGGTGTCAGTGTCAATCCTTTCCGCAGTGAAAGATCGCCATTCTTGAAGCTGAGATTGGGTGGACTGGACATAGAATGAAATAGACATCGAGAGACTGTAGCGCTCTCCAAGGGTTACTCAGCAATCTAGAGTTCCACAAGTTCTTTTGGCTCGAAGTTGATCATTCCCTCATGTGCAGCACACCACGTTTCAACCTTGACTTGAACCTTCCACGCCTAAGGTTTTTAGACACGATCAAGGTCAAGATGTACACCTCCAAAATCACCAGGCGCTGCACCCGGCAGGTTGCCACAAGTTTGGGAGGGGCGCCGGGAGTGTCGGAGGCGCATTTATAGTTGATGTACAAACCATTATTTGATCAGTTAGTTGTTTGGCAGTGGGATGTTGGGAAGGGGCGTGCTGATTTTGAGGGAAATTTTGCACCGAATGACGGTGAGAAAGTGAAACAACAGGAAGAACAAACATCAATCATGCTCCTCAGGGCCATATCCTCCCAAGAGGAAAGTGAAGAAAGAAATGAGAAACAAAAGTGGAAAGGGCACCGAAGACAAACGAAACATACATATATACAGTATATATATAATATTCAAAGTACATATATAGTAGTAGACAACAAGCAACTGAAAAGAAAGACAGATAAAGGTGCGAAAGGGACAGGAACAACCGGCAAAATGCCAAACAAAAGGATGGTTACAATATCCAACGGAGAGAGGAGCAACATAGAGCAACCACAGAGGAGGTCGACCCTAGGTCCGGCGCCTCAAATATCCTCCCTACCGAATAAGAAAGCTGAAGGAAAAGGCAGAAAGAAGACAGAAGAAAGACAGGAGTGCGAAGCTTGCGTCCCATTTCCCCAGTGTTTTCAAGACAGACACGTGCAGGGACACTTGGACTGCAATGATGGAGCCGGTCTTGTGGTGCCTGGAGCAGGCGTTCGAACGTGACATACCGCGAGGAAGTGGGATGAGGAAGTGAGGAAGTGGGATGTTGGGCTTGCATGGGGAGCATCCAACAGTGGGAATGTGGCAGTGTTCCAAACCCGCACTGATTTCCCGAACTCCAAACTGGATTTGTTCTTCTCAGGTACTTCCACGTTTCTTGCCGAGAGTTTGAAGATCATGTTTGTTGTTTCATGTTTCACCAAGACGAAGATTCTATACTGTTCACTCAAGAAAAATATGTTTACTTAAAAATGAACCACACTTGTGGCATTCTTTGTCTTCCTGACGCCTTTTGGACGAGTTATATTGCAGGCCCTCCATCCGTGAGGGATATATATATATATATAATATCATTATATTTCTTCATTATCGCCTCAAGTGTTTGGTCAATATGATATATATATAACCCTGCGAACCCAAAAAGACCAGTTTAACGAGTACACATCAATGCTGAACGAGTACTGTACTTTGGTTCATAGGGAAAGTGTTTGGGTCCGTTTTCTTCTATTTTTATCTAGCTGGTCCATCCCGGCTGCCACCAAACGCAGGGTCTTCTGCGGTGCAGGGGCGCGGGGGCCGTGCCACAGTGGATCCCCTGGGTCCCCACGTCTCTCAGGCGGGGGAGGAGGAGGAAGTGCAGAACTGGCTCGCCTTCGCGGAGCAGAAAGGCCGGATGAGGAGACCGGGTGACTGGACCTTTCTTCAAAAAGGATGATATAGGATGAGGCCCATGTCTGGAGGATACCCATTCTACACTGACATGTTTTTGTGGACTCTTATGACTTTTTTGAGGGGTAATTACAGTTTCTGGATGTCCAAACTACTGGTTGGTGGGTTCACAACATGTGTGTGTGTGTGTTTTCTTCGTTCTATACATGCCCCTTTCTACTCAGCCACTGGTTCCTCCTGTTCGGTACCGACCCGATCCGGCACACGGTGCCTCACGCTCTGACCGATCCGGCAGGCTTCCCCGTGAACGTCGCCGAGCCCATGGAAGCTGACGAGGTGCGGTCCCACAGCGGCTCGCGGCCGAATGCGGATGAAGGAGTATTGAGATGACACTGCTAGAAGCCGAAGACCGTCCACATTGCTGAAGAGGTTGAGGGGCCCCACCAATTCTTAACGATTCGTAATCCGTTCCTGTTTTTGTGACCGCAAGGATGCTGAGATGAATGCACCACAGCAGAGGACAGCCTTGCAGGTTCGCTTCTATACATGTAATGCGTGTCTTTGGCGAGTTGGTTTCCCTCTTTTTGAGAGGTTTGTTTGAACATAGTGGTACTCCATTGGGGCACCCTCACGCACACAAAAAATGCAACATGCAGGTCCTGAGGTCTCCCACGACCAATGACCGGACCAATCCATTTCTCTTCCTTCAATATTTGTTCATCCATTTTGAAACATCGTGTCATGATCATAACTGGACAAGGCTTGCTTTTCCTGGCTTTTCCCTTTAAACCTTGTGTTCTGCTACTGTATCCGCTTGCACTGCAGGACCGAAGGTGGCCGACCAAGAGGGGCAGGAGATGCTGACAAGGTGGCCGGGTTCTTCGACTTGCGTGGCCCAATACGGATTCCCAGCAAGCCAACAATTACATGATACCTTAGTAACTTAGAGTTGATTTGAGTTTTGCTTCTGATTTGTTGAGCCTGTGACTGCACATTGAATGAGCAGAGTAGATTGCGGAAACCACTGCGCATCCAGTAAGACAGTTTCAAGGGAAAATCTTTAGGTCACCAGTGGTGAATGTGCCATCTACGGCTGATCATGGCTGATCTTATTTTGGTTTCTGCGTCATTTGTGGTCGTCATTGGGCCGTTGGCCAGAACGCTATGTTCCTGGGACCCTGTCCTGGTATGGTAGATGTCCATGTAAAAGAATTAGCAGTCAATAACCTGACGTCTTGCAGCAACTCAGCATGCGATCTTGGCTTTTGACCCGTACCCACTTGTCAAAATGCCTCGAGGTGAAGCAGGCCATGAATGCCTTGGATGCCATGAAATCACAAGGACGGTCCCACATGGGACTGGTCTCCATGCAAGCGAGCTTGGCTCGCGGAGCGGCCGATTCGATTCAAGCAACGATGCTCCTATGACTAGGGCTTTGCGTAGTTACATGGTTCTACCGACGTGACGGTTTGGACTGCTGGGTTATCAATATTCCAATGAAGAAGGTAGTAGAGCTCACAGGAAGCCAACATATTTTCTCTAACCAACATGACATCCGCAGTCTGAACAACATGAACAAACCATTAATTTGTGTTTCCTTGTGGTCCTTGTGAGCAGAAACCTTCTACTCGGTCTCGTGAGTGTCCCACGTCCCAAGCTAGTTCTAGATACTGTATGTGTTACTGTGGCAATATCTACGATTCAAAGGGGCGAACATTTGTGGTCGTGGTTGGATGATTTAATGTGATTTTTGTGTTGATTGGTTTTATGCTTTGCTGCTTTGACATGTTTTAATGTTGCCAGGAAAGACTCCCACGATTGAAGACTTCAACAAGGCTGATGATTGCGGCGTTGGACAGTAGAACATTTGGGACTGATACACTTTGCTACATAGAATTGGTTGAGCACGATCAACTAGGAAAGTAGAGAGCGGGATACCACCATGCCAAATCTAGAAGTAAGATAAAGTAAGGTCAAAAAAAAGCAATGTATCCATTCAAACTTCCATGACCATTTTTTGTTTGCTGTTCAATAATTAGAGTAGAGTCAATCGAATGTCCTCTTGAAGCGGAAGTCGTGGCATCTCATCACAATCGATGAATTGGACGACTCCATGTGTGCCCAGCCGTGCGCTGTAAAAAGAAACCCCAGCGATGCGCACTGTTCCCGGGAAAATCCACGAATCCTGTTGCTCCGAGTGACTGTAAGAAAAATCCAAGGCAACCAGGGTTGGCGCCTGATCTGTTTGCGGCTTGGTCCAAGAACTGGTGACCATCAACTGTGGTAACTGCAACCCCCACTCTTTCGCTGACGGGACTGGGCAGCCCGGTTTAGGCGGGGGCGATTTCGCGAGAACGAACGGCAGGTGATGTGGCGCTTTGCGTCCTCAAGCCGTTCGCAATATTCGCGGAGGGGCCCAGAAACTCCGCCATCTCATGGGAAAAACCTCTTCCACAGTGAAAGAGTGCTGGAGAACGTTTGAAGCAGGTGAAATCCAACACCTGCACTTGGGATTTAAGCCGACTGCATCAGACAGTGGGGGTGTGACATGTTTGTTGCAGTGGCAGGCATAGGAGGGGAGAAACCCGGGTTTGATCCAAGGCCCTGTGTTGAACCTGAAGGAAGGGCAATTGGTGTCTAAATAAATACTATATGCGCTATATGTATCTGTATTTGTGTCTTAATAATCTTAGTAATGATGCAGTTATATACTGTGTGCTAAGAGTGCACCAGCATGCATAACTATGCAATGAAGTAATTAACTAAGTAATTCTGATCGATACATATATATATATAACATATTTAGTGAAGAGACGCGCCATGTAGGCCGAGCAACCAACATGCACACGAGTGCAAAACACTGAACCACACAATTCTCCCTTAAGATGTGCACACGACCATGTGCCGCCTTTTGTTGACTGTTGTTTACTTTTTCTTTCACTTGTTTGCATGTTAAGAGCCGTAAAGACTGGTTGAGGAAGATCAACACACCTTTGCTAGATTGAAGTCTCTATAATTCTATCTCTCTCTATATATCTCTCTATAATATAATATATATATATATATTTCTACAAATTTCTACTGTCACCCAGTGGTGCGGTTCTTTGAGTTGGTCAGGCATTTGAGTGATTTTGGTCGTCAAGCATCATCATGTGAACATGTCAACCCCCTCCCCTCAACCTGGTGAAAGCCCACTTTCGCCTCCTAAGGCAGGCCCGCGACTTCCTCGAGACCAGCATTTTGCCCGTCATACAGCCCACTGCGAGGACCTTCCTGGAACTCTTGAGGCGCTCGCGTGCGAAGCGCGAGTCGACTGGTTGAAGGCGAGATTGGAAGAGTCGACGTGGGTGTGTTTGGGAGACCTAGTTCGACCTGGAAGAGGGAAAGTAGACCAATCTACCCATTGCGCCAGGGTATCCTTAGTAAAATACACCCACATTCTGTTTGTTCGTCCCTTTTTCTGGGGGGATCGATAAGTCGATTGGTGAGAACTGCCGAGATGGCAAGTCTCGATTTGCTCATGAATTAAGGTACACCATGTTGCAACGACCATGGAGTTGCCCTAAACCATGTCATTTCCAGCCTCAGACTTGACCTTTGGCCATCATTGAGCACCACGAACATCAGCTCAGACACTCAAAAAGATATGGAAACTGCACGAACATCAGACAACTTGCGGGAGATCATAGTGGCGGGTCATAGTGGGAGCAGGGGAGATCACAGTCCTGCCACCATAGCCGTGCCACAGCCTTGGTCTTCCGAACGGAAGAAAAACATGAGGCAAAGATCCTGTTGCACCAAAGTGACAGGTAATTAAAAGATCCTGTTGCACCAAAGATTCGAGATGACAGGTAATTAAACCACAACAGTTTGGGACCAACAGGGCGTGACAGGGTCCAGGTTCCAATCAACCTCTCCGAGTGCATTGGGTCATTTGTCCCGCCATGGCTTTGATGGTGGGCATGATGTGTTCGCCTGGGAGCGGACAGGTGTGGCTCCCAAGTGGTGTGACGTCTGGAGAGAGACTAGAGAAGCAGGAGTTCTTTTTCTAAATGTGTCCACGCAGTGTGGTGTTGTCTGACATGCGACGGCTGAATTGTGATGTGTTTGATTGTGAGCTTTGTTTTTAGCCAAGTGCTGCTCTCACAGTGGGTCTAAACGGCGAAAAAAACGAAACATGTTCAGTGCAGTATATGGAACGGAATCATCGTCGTTTCAGCTCTTCTACTCTCGCACCACGAGTTCGGTACGCACGCGGACCCACATGGGACCCATATGTTCTGACCCTTCCAGGTCCTCGCTGGACGGGGAGCCCGGATGAGCCACATCCGACAGAAGCCACTGCAAGCAGGAGACTAGTTTGAGTTCAGAGGCTAGCTGTGACATAGTTTGGATTGATAACTCTGCATACCGGTATAACTTCTTCTTGATGACCGTGTATGGCAGTTAAAGCAATCATCAAACTATTCATCATCCTATTTATTCTCAGTAGCGATTTCAATCATCTTAAAGAGATAGGCATTCCCACAAGGATAGCCATAGAATTCTTGCATGTCGTGGGTATGACTCCATGTGCTGAGAAACACCCAGAGTTTCTTGCTGCTTCCTTACACCATGGGGGATGGATTCATCCCCAGTTCGATGAATCCGGGAGTTCGGAGGGTCCGGTGTCACCCGGTTCGGAGGGTGTGCAGGCCCGGAAGGCTTGGAGCTGGGCAGTGCCCTACCTGCCAGCCTTGCGGCCGCGGCTGCCGTTGGGCTGGCCGTTGGGCTGGCGCGGCAAGGTGCGTGGAGGGCGGTGAAGGGCTTGGGATGTGGAACAAGAACGCTAGTAGGAGAAAGGGCATCGCTACTAGGAGCAAGGACGCTACTAGGGGCTCCTGGCCTTACTACTAGGAACAAGAACGCTACTAGGAGCAACTGGATGGATATGATGCCGTGCCGTGTACCTTGTTACATGCCTCGGCCGCGACGAGGCATGAAAAGGCCCGTTGTCCAGAGTGATTCTTCTCCACGGAGAAAAGCCACATCTTAACATTTAATCATTTGTTGAGTCGGGAAGATCCAGTGATTTGGTATGATTTGGTTTGACATATTTTTGAAGAACGAAACCAATAACGGCCTTATTTGGAGAGTGTTATATCAGTCAGCAAGAGTTGATGCTTGCATTGTAAGTCAACACCTCTTCCCCACCTGAGCTTATTCTGACCTGGCCACATACAAGTCCCTTGCAATCAGGTGTTAAACTAGTTGCAAGTGCACACTAGGACTGCAACAACATAACTGGTTGGTGCATTTCAATCCATTTGTGTCTCAACTTTGATCTGGGGCACTTTATCCATCATTGTCTCCAAAATAGCATATGAAATGAACATCTGGTGGGTTGAAACTACCAACTAGGACTCGCCACAGTTTTTCTTCTTTTTCAGATCCACAAAATCGGCTGATGTACTGGATCGGAGCAACGACTCAGGTTCGTCCACGGCTTCCCTGGGCGGAGTAGACGCGAGGACGTGGCGAGAAGAGGAGCTGAAGGACTTCAAAGGAGCTTGGGACTTTGCGAATGAGGGACGAAAAAGGAATAGAAACTACTAGTAAAAGGAATAGAAGCTAGAAGCTACTAGTAGCTATTTGCTACTAGTAGTAATGCACATCCCTTTTCTTGGGATCTGATGAGGCTCTGAGTTGGAGTTGGAGTTCTTCGGAATTTAAAGTTCCACTATGTTCCACTGCACAAATGGAGAACATGAAGCAACAATATATACAGTAGTTATATATATAAGGGTGATCCCAATCCACTTTTGTAATTGCAATTTCTGATGAGAACATCGGCGGGCTGAGTGACATTGATGCGTGGTGGTTGTTTGAAGCGACTGATTTGGAGATTTAAAGGGAGTTTGATATATATATATATATTACATGTTTATTACCTATTGTTGCCAAGATGACGTTGCTCTTTTAGAGTTTCTCCAATCCATGTGCCCAGGCACGGATGGTGGAAACATCCTCTTGGCAGCTGATGGCCTCGTCTTTGATGTTTCATCTGCTAGGCCGCTAGGCTGGAAGGGACAGTGACCAAGGAAGAGAACCCCCCAGTGACGTGGTTTCTGTAAATGTCCACCCCGTACCAATATATTTGGCAACATGCTCCTTTGCTGGGCTTTGACAGGCTCGTGGTTCGGAACTTTGAGATGATTGTGTTGATGTCTTTCAAATCCATTTAAGTGCTGGTCTGAAAAACCTATTTGCTTCCATGTTTCAAGATTTGTCCCAGGCAGTGTAGATGCATTAGTATTGAGACCACGAAATCGCAGCACGTTGACTTGAGCCATCACTACAATTGAATACTTCAAGCATTCTGAGACATTGGTGTTCGCCAGGAATCTCTATGGCCCTGGGGGCAAATATGCTCCACTGGCAGGGCGAGATGCTTCGCGGCTATTGGGCAAGAACTCCCTGGAAGAGGTTGGGTTTGCCGTGTGTTCCCAAACCGATACAACAATGTTGAAAACATGTTGATTTCCATGGTTGTATGGCATCATTTGGTCCACAGTTGTTTACAACCAACGTACTGCTCATCTTAGGGATTCTGCGCAAGTTCACCACCATCCAGAGGCGAATCTACCTCCAGACCATGTCGATTCCCCTGCGATTCCCCTCCGCGACCCCCTTTCTTGAAATTCCGCCGCGACGCACCCAAGAACTCACGTTGGTCGCTGGAAGCCAAAGAGCCCCAGGAATCCGACGCATCGCGAGAAATGCCATTGAACCTGGCAGAGAAGGCCTTTTTGTCCGCTTGGGCCACTTGGCCCCAACCACGGCGGACGACGGAGTTCTTTTTTGTTGTTGTTTTTTGCGGAACGAAGCTTTGGGATGTTGGACGACGGACGTAATGGACTTGCATTTTGTGAAAGCTTGCGTTTTTTTTTTGCGGACTTGTTTGGATACTTTGTTGTTGGTGACTGATTCCTCACCACTCACTTGTCTCTGGAGACGTTCTTTTGCATGCGTAAACACACTGATTGGCATTGGTTCTTTGTGAAAAGAAGAGTAGGCTTAGGTAGTTGCTGGGGCTTTGACAAGACCCCTCAAGTTGAGACATCTGGGATGAGCATGTTTCAATCTACTATGCCCGCACTTGTACTGCACTTGTGTGCTGAAGGTCATGTCCTTCAAGAGCAAGTACCCTATTGTTGGAAAGCTAGTGGAAGAGGAGAAGCAAGCATGGGAATTGAGCAAGTGTCTCAATGCGCTGCACGTTCCTTGTATTCTGAGATCCAACGGCAAATCAAACTAAATTGACTTCACGACCTGGAAGGCTATAGACGTACCATGTATATCCACGTATGTCAATGTGCATTGTTGTGAATCTCTCAGCTTTCAAACTGACTTGGTCCTTTTGATGATCCTCGTCAATCCGCATTCATCCGCATTCTTTGTGACTCTGATTCGGGTTTAACTTTGATTAATCTTTACTTGAGAGCAGCAAACTCCCAAGAGTCCTAACAGCTTGACCCTAGAATCGACTGCACAAATCCAACATTTGCTGCACTAAAGGACAGAATCCACGGTTTCTGCATTTTGTCTCTAGAAATCACATGTTCTCACGTTCTTCATCAGTACCTTTATCCTTTGAGGTTTGCTTGTGTTCCTTCTAACAGTGTTTTTTCATTCAGCGTTCACTTGTCTTTGACTGTTTTTTTGCACCAGTCAGGCCTTGCTTACTTGAAGGTAGCCTTTGGAGAGGATACCAAAACAAGCCTGCACTGACGTTGATCTCTAATGCACTCAAAGCTCACGATTGATCTCAAAGACCTATGATCTGGGATGTAGGTAGACGAGGGCAGCCCATTGATCTCAAAGACCAACATACTCTTGGACGAGCACCAGCCCTTCATGGACTCAAGAACGCATCCATCTCGGGTGCAAGAACGCATCCATCGGTGGTTCTTCCTGGAGGAGCAAGGCCCATCTCCTGCAGCCTTCTTGCGGGCAGCCGAGCTGGGCGATGTGTCACGGCTCCGGCGGCAGTTGGCGGAGGCCGGGAAAGACCCTGGTGTCCGCTACGAAACCAGGTTGAGTTCGCTTCACTTAGGAGAGATTTCAGATGTTCCATGAATGTGTGCTGATCGTGCAGTTTATTTTATCTACAATCCTCAGGGTTGTTTGAGGCATCCTGTGGGGCTTCAAATTCAACAAGTCAGAGTGAGCTGTGCATGTGAACCAAATTTCTGTTCTGGCACTTGGGTAAAGAGCGCTTTACAGAGTGTCAATTGTTAAACAGATTTGACGCTACCTTTTCATGGAGGTTTGATGCATCTCGTGTCCTTCAAGAGTATTGCACACTACGCTGCATTTGGTTCATGATATTCTTGTCACAAAACAATACGGCTGAGGCTTGTGATAAGAAATGTCGATAGAGTCTAGAAATGTCTAGAATATTTCTTGATCCCAAGTGTTTGAACAAGAGTCTAATTTCTTGCTCTATTTCTTAACACAGTCCCCGACCGTACGACTCCGTACGACGGAAAACAGTTCAAGCCCGGTAAGTTTGATCTCTCCATTTTGCAACCGCCCTCGGCATGCAAGATCAAAGAATATCCAAAAATCCTGAACCCCCTCAAATTGTATTGTCAGGACCACCCAAGTCCCCATGTTCGCTTCCTACACAGCAATCCACCTTGCTTGCCCCCTTCAAATGCATCCAAAAATCTCAGAATCTCCATGTCTTGGAACGGATCATTTTCACATTCTCAGCCCAAACATGTCCATGTTTTGCATGTTCTTTTCCTAGTCTCAGATATTCTCAGTCTCCCAGCTCCCCTCCCACCCATTGCGGTGCCCAGCGCCCACGGCTCCCACGGCCTGTCAGGGCGCCCAGCTCACCTGGGCCGACAGCGACGGCCTCAGCGCCCTCCATTGGGCTGGCCGTCAGGGCCATGTCGAGGCGCTGGTGACGTTGTTGGAGGCTGGAGCTGCGGCAGAAGGCCGGGATGCTGGATGTGGATGTGGGATATATATGTGGATTTTGTGGTATTATATATCAATATAGTAGTAATAATACGTACTGTATATAACACATATTGGATGTGGATGGGTGACAGGTGGTGGGGCTTGCTGGAGGGCAGAATGCTGGATTTGCCGATGCTTTTGGACACAGCATTTGGACACAGCGAGATGAAATCACCGACTGGCTCGTGGCCTTCCGCAATTTGAGTTCACCCATGTCGTTTGCAATCTAAACGAGCTGATCCCCGACGATCCGCGCCCTTTGCTCAACATGGCATCAAATCATGTTTGCTCAGGCCCTGGCCAACTATCTCGTGGTGTGTTTGTTGTTCCTTAAAACAATCTGAAACATCAAGGCGGGTATAGGGGAAATCAAGTGCGACCCGGACCAAACACTCGTCTGACACCGCGCCGAACAAACCATCCTCCCGTTCGGCCAGGCCTCGACTTGAAGGGTCGAAGCGCCTTGCACTGGGCTGCGACCTTTGGACACCGCCGTGCAGTGGAGGTCTGAGAGACGAAAAGCGGACCAGGTATTGAGTCCAAGAAAGGTGAACAAGATGCATGTTTTCTTGTCATTTGTGAGGATTGGTCCACAAGTTGTCTAGTCAGGTCTCGTCGATTCCCTTCGGATGGTGCCATGTTTTAGGATTCCACCGTGAACTGCTTTTGTGTGGAGGTCCTATTGGAGAAGACTCCCGTGGAGGCGCCGAACGATGGTGGATGGCCGGGATTCCCGCGCGTCACGACGGCGAGGAGGTGGACTCGGTGGATGTCCTTTCAGTCTCTCTCTTGGGACAATCTGAGGGGGTGGATGGGTTTTACATGTTTTTCCCCAAACAGTGTGGACACTTGGGGGTTCTTACGGTAGGAGAAAAGCAGGTGTGCTTAGATAGGTGTGCGGCGCGGGCGTGCGCGGCTAATTCGCTGCAATTTACAGTACATTAATGCCTCCCGAAAGCCTCGAAGTGCATTTCGACTGCGCAGGCTCGCAGAATCTGGGGGCCCGTGGCGGGTGCTTCTAGCGACTGCGCTCTCGTTGTGGTGCCATGTGCATTTTCGCATATGATGGTGACTTTTCGTGGCAGGCGCCAGGGAAACCTCGTGTATTGGTGCTTCAAAGTCGACTTTTCGTGACGGGTGCAAGGGATCGGAGCTTTTTTACTTCGAAATGCAGTTTTCGTGGCAGGTGCAGCACTTTGGACATGGTGGTGATCGTCGAGGAGCTCAGATTTCGTGACAGGTGCAGTGAATCGTGACTTTTGGACATGTGGCTCGTTTGCAGATTTCGTGGCAGGCACAGCGCTCTGTGACCCTGGAAGTGCAGATTTCGTGGCAGGTGCAGCCTCGAAGTGCAGATGATTTCGTGGCAGGCACAGCACCTTGTGGTGAACCTCGAAGTGCAGATTTCGTGGCAGGCACAGCACTTGGTGAACCTCGAAGTGCAGATTTAGTGGCAGGCACAGCAGTTGGTGAACCTCGAAGTGCAGATTTCGTGGTAGGCACGGCAGTTGGTGAACCTCGAAGCGCAGAGTTCGTGGCAGGCACAGCACTTGAAGTGCAGATTTTGTTGCAGGCACAGCACTTTGTGAACCTCGAGGTGCAGATTTTGTGGCAGGCACAGCACTTTGTGAACCTCGAAGTGCAGATTTCGTGGCAGGCGCAGCACTTCTCGAAGTGCAGATTTCGCGACAGGTACAGCACTTTGTGAACCTCGATGTGCAGATTTTGTAGCAGGCACAGCACTTTGTGCTCTCAGATGTTCACTCTCTCTCACTTCCTCACTCTCACTCTCACTCACACACGCTCAGCACTCACACTCACTCTGCACTTACACTCACATTCACACTCACACTCACTCTCACCCACACTCACTCTCACTCACACTCACTCTCACCCACACTCACTCTCAGTCACACTCACTCTCACTTGCACTCGCGCTCACACTCACTTACTCTCCCACTCTCACTCACACTCGCACTCACTCTCACTCTCACTCACGCTCGCACTCCCTCACACTCTCACTCTCCCACTCACTCACACTCACACTCACTCACACTCTCGCTCTCACTCACACTCTCACTCTCACTCACACACTCGCACACACTCACTCTCACTCTCGCTCGCACTCTCACTCTCACTTTCACTCTCACTCTCACTCACTCACCACCATCGCCACCGTCACCACGATCCCCACCTTCATCACCACCATCACCTCTCTGGACCCCAATGCGTCTAGATCTCTAGACTCTAGGACTCTAGACTTTCTGCTTATAGACCTCACACACGCTGTTTGGGGTCTCTTGAAGGGATCATTTCTGTGTTGGTGTGGTCATCGGGTCTCTTGACCCACGACGGTGGCCTGTTCCACTTGCAGATGCTCGCCAGTTTATCTATCACCAATGGTCATGACAGCTTGGCATGGTTTGCAAAACGTCGTCTCGTGAGTCCAAGCAAGAATATTTGCCCCGGGCTGGCTGCACATTAATTAGTTCGAAACAGGCACTTCCAAGTCACATAAGTTTCCTGCGACACAGACTTCTGAGGGAGCACTCGCATCCAAACGAAAGGTGAATGTGTCAAATCTACTTCCCGGCAAGGAGTGTCCCATTCACGCGGTAGGTCAACCATCATGTGCCAGTTATATCCAGTTATAAGTTATATCATGATCCGGTTATAAAATGTTGGAATATCATCCCTTCCACCTATTACGCCCCCACCCCTTACAAAATATATGGTGTCGTTGCTTTAAACTTTAATAGCGCGTCCTCAAAATGGCGAGGCCCCGCTGGACGTGAACCAAACGCACCTCAGAATTGGAGCGAAAACCAGGTGGAAGATGTCACCTAAAGCCACATACAGACCGACCGATAGTGAAGAAACATCATGAGGGACAGAAGGAAAGGACTTTGGAAACATGTAAATCCCTCATAAGTGAAAATGCGTGCCGCCTAAAATGACAACAACCTGCAACATTAGAGGAATTGCCCTTTCCCAATTTTTTTTCCAAACAACCTGATGATTATTACAGACCTTGATGTTACATAATTGTACAGTATATAAACACAAATTAACACAAGAAAGATATGGATAGCAAACCAGGTACCACCTAAAGTCATCCCGCCAGCAGTTGTTTTTAATAGGTGGCCCTAGTGACTCAGCGTGTTTGGCAAGTTGCTGGATTCAAATCTCTCCGTTGAAACAAATGCATATAAACCCACTATAAAGCGTGTGGCAAACATGCAAAAACACTCGCAACATAGACCCTTTCCCTTGGTTGTCTTTCAACCAAAAACACATGCTCATAACAGACGTTGATTCCCCACACAATATACAGAATCGCTCAAAAAAGATATGGAAACCGAACTAGGTATCACCTACCAAAGGAATACAGCCGGCAGTTTTTTTTTTAATAGGTGGCCCCAGTGTGTTTGGACTTTAGACAGTTCCTGGATTCAAAGTTTTTCCCTGAAAAAAGAACAACAAAAAGAACAACAACACATTCTAAACCCCCTATTAAATTCCAAGACAAGTTCCATCACTGATGGAACTTAGCTTGTGACCAGCAGCTAAAGAGTTCAACGGGTGATGTTGCTGCGTCACGCGGATTGGCGAAGCCTCGGTGGAAAGTGCATGCCGGTGTGTCTCACTGCCATTCGGGAACGGGACACATGCGTGTGTAATTGCGGCGTGCCACTGGTGAGCGGCAAAATTGGTGGTGATTCTAGTGGGTGGGCTACCTGTACAATCAAAAAACGTCCCCAAAATGGTATTGGGTGCATTTTAGTAGTAGAAAGTAAACGGGGAATAGCGGGGGTGTCTGATCTGCCGTTTTAACTGGGTAGATCTGGGTAGTGTTTTTTTGTTTTTTAATGTGCAAGAGCCTTACTGTACATGTTGTGCCGCATAGTGCACCAAAGCTGAGTCAAAGACATTCAAAGACCACCCCGTCAAGAACAACATGAGCCACCCAGTGGTACAGAGTAATCAGCTCAATATGTTGTTCTCGGCTGTATCTCCCGTTTTCTCGCAGGCTGCTGCGGCTGATGAATGGCTGCCCCTGCACTTCGCCGCACAGGGCGGCCATACTGGGGTCGTGGAGGCCGACGTTTGGTGAGGGTGAAACGGAGTCATTGGGTCGTCCAGCGTCAGTCACGACAGAACATGTCAGACAACATGAGGATTTGGTGGGGGTTTGAGTCGATTCATGGTTTCCATCAGGTCCTCTCTTGGTTCAAAATCATTGCCACTGCTCCTCAGTGAGGGTCCAGCGTTCTTCCACTGAAAGCCTGACCATCCGAGACTCACCGGGACTCTGCAGGTTTTATTGCAGAAGGGCGCTGATGTCAACAGGCGGGTCCGGTGATCCTGGTGACGGTACCAGCACGGTGGAAGGGCTTCTCGATGATTCTCATATTATATGGTCTCATGCGGCCAATTTGGTGAGTTGATTATCGAATGAAACCACCCAAACCCACTCACTCAGACTGGTTTGCGTTTCTTAAGAGATACCATTTCAACTGTCACGTTTTATTTTTCCCTTGTTTTGAGGTTATTTTCTGTAGAGATTCTTAGAAACCAGTCTTCCAGGTGTCGTTGAAGCACGTTTTCATAGAACTTCTCTTTTTCACCTGAGACTTACGGAATGATCATCTCTGTGAGGCAGGGCACCTGTTCAATGGGATAACGGATAACCATGGATAACCCTATTCGATGATAATAACCCACAATTCCTTGATCAATTTATATCAGTGTTTTTTTTGTATAGAAGAATTCCTGCATCCCCACCACATGCCACCCAAACTGCCAATACTGCACTTGGAACTTGGAACCTCCACAAAACAAACAAAGAGAGAAAAACATATGTCTCCACTCTCCGAACAGACCTCCACCCTCTTTTTGTTGGACCAACCTGGGCCCAGCTCTGTTCGTGGCAGGGCCTCCAAGGCGGGTGTGACCGCCTTGATGGGTGCGGCGCGCGCAGGGCATCGATCCACCGTGGAAAGCTTGCTGAAGGCGGGTGCTGACCCAGGCGGGGTCGACGATGGGCCGCGGCCACGGCGGGTGTGGCGGCCCTTGGATCCGATGGTTGGGAAAGGCCTGGCCATGGCTCAGGTGCTCTTAGATGAACATGCAACAGCGATGATCGGAACATGGTAGGATTTTCTAGAGAGATTTAGACTGTTGTTACAATGGGTTCCCAACCAGGACCATGATACTCATACAGACCATGTCAATTGCAGCCTGACAAAATGAGGAGTTTTGCTCCCCGTTTTAAGGCTTGGAACATAGATTGATATAGATTGTATTGCAATTGGATCAGCTTTTCATTCCATCACTGCATGTTCCTGTGTAATATGTGGTGTGTTTGCACAGAGATCACCCTGGCACAATAACAAATGGATTGACCAGTCTACAGTCTACACGGATTTCCTGCCTCAGGTGCTGTGGTGAATGGAAAGACAGCTGCGCGCTGGGCTGAGAATCAAGGCGCTGGGCTGCGCAGCCGGACATGGTTAGATGAGGTCTAAGCACTGTTTGGCACCGTTGTGACATCCATTTGATACTAAGGGGAGTTCCCGCGTGCCGAAATTGGATTCTAACCCGCCAACCCCGCACAACGCACAACGGCTCGGAGCAAGGGAGGCAACAGCACACGACACGACAACCTTCGTAGAAACCACAAAGATCCCCCAAAACATGCAACCATGCAGGTCTACAAGGAGTTTCTTTTCGTTTATCCACACCTCAATTTGAAGTCGTTGCTCCTTGTTGGTCATCTCGTTGCTTTGATCACTCCCCAAACCCACGGCACCTTCAAGCAAAAGTGCAGTCATCCAACCCACTTGCACTTGCACCCAGTATCAGTATATATATTATAATATATATTATAATATATATTATAGAGATGTAGGAGTTTCACCTTGCCGTCTCCCCATGTGGTCGTTCTCACCAATTTTCGGACAAATCGTTTCCCGCTTCTGGGGCGCACGCGCGCGCGCGCGTGGCGTGCCTTGCGCGACATGACATGGGCAGGCCTCAATGAGATCGCGGAGCTCATTCGGTCCTATGAGATTTCCTAAGTGCGAAAAGCCGCAAATGTCAAAAGAACTGGCCCTGCAGTGCTGGTGGAGAGACATGGGCGGTGGATGGCGGTGGTATGGCTAAGCCTCCAGGAAGCGCCCCCCCCCCGTGCAGGGCGGGCGGTGGATGAAGTTCCGGGGAGGCGCAGGATGGCAACTGCTGGAAAAGACAAAAGTTGCTCGATAAGGACGTGCGCCTGGAACGAGAGCGAGAGTTAGGATTGAGACTTCATCACAGATCGAAGGTAGAATTTCGTGGTTTATAATGTGTTACTTTGTGGTTAGCCAGGCTCTTCACAAGGAAAGGTTGCAAGGATCTTTAATGTTCCGTCAAGGCCAGTCTGATGTTCGTTGATCACCAGTTGCTAGGAATTCAGATAATGAAGTATACAAGAGCAACGATCGTGCTGCCTAAGCCTTAAGTGGTGAGTCCTTGCGCTGGAGTGCTATCACATCGACAGCACTCAGGTCAGGGGCCCTATTATGCCCTATTAATATGAGATCATACAGTGAAACATGCTGCAACATCGTTGGGGAACACGTGCTTTGGCCATGCATGTGTTCCAGCGGGCCGCGTGCGATCCAATCCATTCGTCTGACAGGTGCAACCGCAGGGGGGATGGGCGCCGCGGCATCTACACGCGACTCCGTCCTGTTTGGGTTGAGATTGCAGACCTTTGCAATGAATGTCATGTTGAGTTTCTCTTGGAGTTGCAACTTTATGATCTTAGATAATCTGTTGCAGTATTTGTTGGCTATTTTTTTTCCAAGAGTGAACGCCTTACGTAGTATTCAAAACATGTCCGTTTTGCAGGGCACACGGCACACTCAAATCACTACGTCGTACAACGTTGAAAGCCTGGCACGCCGTTTGTCCAGTCGCCAGTCTGCGATCTCCAGGTCTCCCCTGTGTTCCAAGAGTTTCAACACCACATGGGAAAAGACATACAGGGCTGCCCTGGGAAGAAAGGGACTCACCAGCTGCTTTAATACACATGAAGAGAGATGACAAAAGCAGTCACCAGCAAGGATCTACATATTTAATCATTACCACGTCCTAGAATTTCTCAGGATGACCACCCGGCTCCCAGCATTCCATGCCAGCCATGCCATGGCACCGTCTCCTGTCTCTGGTTGAACTGGCAGGCTGGAATGGATGCATGATCAGGGCTTCACCATCACCAGGCACCTGGCTCGCGCTCGGCGGCGCCAAGCGGCGGGACCGTGTTCCACTTGGTTTGAAGATGTTTGAAGAAACCGCGCCTCGGGGCTCCACATGATGCAAACTGGTACTTCAATGTACTGATTCGGCTTGATTCGGCTTGGTACAGATAGGTTCATGATACATGACAATGATTGTAATATACTAGACTATGATATCAATACTTGTATCATGAATCGGAAGTACAGTATGATCATGGATCATCCTCCATCTTCAAGATGGTGGGTGTCATCACGCTTCCTTCGAGCAGGTTACATGTGTCGCTTTGTCACCAAGCAGAAAACCAGCAACTCACAGTCCATGGAAGTTGACCAGGATCCCATGATCCATTTCCCATGGGAAGCACGCGATGTGGTCCGCGTTCATGCCAGGGCCCACGTTGATGTGGTCGCAAGGCATGTTGTTTTCTGCAAGGGGGGGTGCGGCGGAGTGGGCCCATTGACAATCCAGGATGCCCCACCTTTGGTCACTGGCCCATAGTTCCAAAGAGAAAACGCATGTACAATCATAGACCGACAAAAAGCAAGATTATCACTGGGCGGGGCATCAAAGGGCGCTTTGGGATTGTGTGTTGGGTCTGGGGTGGTTTGTCCATTTTGAGACAAACGTCAGCAAATCCAATAGCAACACTGGCTCCAAGGTGGTGTAGACGGAAACTTTGTTATGGGCCAGTGCTGTGGTGGCAAAAGTAGCAAGGTTCTGTCTCACGGGAACAGTGCAGACCTTTTTTCAAGCAGTTTGACCGTAACGGCAATGGGGAGCTTGAAGCGAGCGAGTTGAGGAATTTCTTGAAAGCAGCATTCCCTGGAAGTGAACCTCGATAGTGATTTTGAATGATTTTGATACGTTCTGATCAATCTCTGTTTGAGAATAGTTATCCCGAGTGAGTGATCCTTGGGGGGCTAAACATCGAGCTCAAAAATCAGGAACTCACAGAGGAGGAGCTCAACAAGTTGGTGACTGAGTTCGATAGTGATCAGAACGGAACCATCGGCCTCAATGAACTTCACGCATTTCTTCGTTGTTACAATCCGAAATCCCAGACATTAAAGCGGAAGACAGCCCTTCTCATCATCGATGTGCAGAACGACTTCATCTCAGGATCGTTGGCCGTTCAAAACTCCGAAAGCATCGTACAAGGGATCAATGAGATCCGAGAGAAGTTCGACTGTGTGGTGATTTCTTATGACTGGCATCCCCAGGACCATTGCTCCTTTGTGGAAAGTGCGAACGATGGCAAGGTAAAGATCAAAGAGACGGAGGGTGTTGGCACATTCCAGGCATTTTCACAGGTGACATTGCTTGGTGATCAAGATCGCGCAGAGCATTCACAGATGCTTTATCCACGCCATTGCGTTCAAAGGGCATGGGGGAGCGAATGCCACAAGGATTTGGTGGTGAAAAAGGAAGACATGTCTGTCTACAAAGGGCAAAAAGCCAACATCGACTCTTACTCGGCATTCTTCGACAATTGCAAAGCCAATGACACTGGCGTTACCAAGCAGTTGGAAGATGCGGGAGTCACCGACGTTTAGTGCTGCGGCTTGGTGTTTGATATTTGTGTGAAGTCCAGTGCTTTGCATGGAGCTGAGAATGGATTTCTTGTGTCAGTGATTGAAGACGTGTGCAAGCCCTTGAACGAGAGTGAGGCTGGGCTGCTTCAAAACCAAACACCATCACACATGTCTCTGAGGAGTAAGATGAGTAAGAGTAAGTGACAAGGGCATGCTGTTGCCCTGGTTTTGGGATGTTTTGGGTGGGTCCAACTAGCATGAGTCAACATGGGGATCTCAGCCGGTGACCTTCATTGTCGGAACTTCAGGTGACCGGGCCCGTCAGGTCGAAGCAACCCGGAAGCTTCTTGCAGACGCGGGGGGGTGCGAGTGATGAGTTCTGCGGAAGCCACGCAAGAGGTGAGCTCGCAGAGGTCCGAATCTATGCCCCTAAAGGACTTTCTGGCGACAGTGACTTGGGCATGTGGTGAGCTCGCATAAGATACATTCGAATCTGAAGGACTGGAAGAAGGCTAGCCCATTGACCCTGAAGCAGAGAATCTGTGCAGATAGGGGTAGGTCTATTCAGATATATGATTTTCCAGTCCTGTGGATTCAGGTCATTTAAGATGAAGTTCAAGGGTCCTTCATGGTCCCCCCCAACATGCCACAAACCGTGCCTTTTGACGCCAGCAACTAAGGTGAAGGCGCACAAACGTGCAGCGGGACTTCACAAGTTGGAACGCATTTCTTCACATGCCAAAGAAAGCACCTAATTTAGACATTTAGCGAATCTCTCATTTGTAAACTTTAAACGTTTCACATAATGTTTGAACATCTTCATACATGTTCGCTTACCTGCATGGCTCGCAAAAATACGGAAAAGGGGCCCACTATGTCACTATGTGTTCTCGGTCGTGGCGGCATGCTCGTCAGCCAATCGAGAGTGTGATCTGGATAAGAATTGTCATTGGACTGATGCTTCTGGCTTGTTTGAATGTTTTCATTCTAGTGCAAGGAGCTGCTTGGTCTTATTGGGGGGGATTCCGAGTTTCTCAACTGGGCCCAGGCAGCTGGCCGAGGACTTTTTCAATAAGAAGGTGTGACCGTCCAGGGCAGTGAGATGGGAGTGAGAGAGTCCAGGCCAGTGAGATGGAGAGTGGAACCCCATGCGTGGCCAGAAAGTTGTTTCAGGTGAAGTGGATGCGTTTCAGTGGAACCCCGTGAGGTGCAAGACCTAGAGGGCTTGCTGGAGAAGGTCTTGGCTACTTTGGAGAGAAAGCTTCAGAGCGGCTTGTGCCCCTGGGAGACTTGCACACATTGAAGAGTGGCTAAGACATGCTAAGACTGAGTCTCGGAGTCTCGTTAGCAGTTTGGCTCAGCCGCAGTCTCTGTGCTGCAACGCCCAATGAAATGGATGCTTTGACACCCCAAACACCTTTTTGGGGTCGTGTAGCCTTTAAAAAGAAGACAAGGCGCCCACCGTGGTCATGATTTACTTTCCCAGAGAAGATAGGCTACTAGGAGCAAGGACGCTACTATTACTAGGGGCTCCTGGCCGTACTACTAGGAACAAGAAGCTACTAGGGGCTCCTGGCATCGCTACTAGGAGCAAGGACGCTATATATATATATATATGTTTATTTATTTATCTATTTATTTTTTTTGAGCGAGTGGAGTGATTCCAAGCCCGTGAGCAAGTCATAGAGCAAGCACTCAATTTATTCCGGCCTTTTCATGACACACTTGACCAATCAATTGACAACATCAGTTTCAAACATGGAAGTGAGATGCAGACATTGTTCATCAATCACGGACATGGTCCCAATGGTTTTTTGAAAGGCGGTTGGATGCGCTTAGTATTGCAAGATGGAGCAAACCAGCAACCATTCTAGCAAGAGGACTCATAGGGTAGAGGCCGTATTGAATCCACCAGAAATGACAAAGCCTGCTCATAATCTCGGATTGTGTGCAACCAGGTTGGGAAGGCTGAATGTTCCGTTCTGCATTTTTCCAGACTCCCGGGGTTTCTCCTCCAACATATTCTCCATCGGCCAGTTTCACATCGTTTCACCTCGTTTCAGTCGTACAGGTACCAAACCATGATTCTGAGAGCAGCTGAGGTGGGAGCTTGGGAGCACCCTTTACCAGGACCCGCCCTTAGGTCCTTAGAGGTTAAGGGATGTTCATTAGTCACTGTACTAGCGATGGCCTCCAACCCTGTAGGGATGGCCTCCAACCTAATGAGCGAAACAACCGGAACCCGGGGCCGTTCCACACCCGTCCGATCCGGTCGACCGCCCAGATCGGTGAACGCCCAGATCGTTCTTTTTGGAGAAACATCCAACACAAGATACTGTAGAATCTTCATGAATTTTCTATCTTCGCTTTACAGTACCATCGTTTCAGCCCTGGGACGAGAGGGGGAGGTGATTTCGCTGATGTCTCAGGACACAGCCGGTGATCTCTTGTGTAGGTTGGGCAGCTGGAGACGTCCAAGGAGTGGTACATGCTGGCACAGCAGTCCGTCCCGGATTTTCGGCCGCTCGCTGACACCGAACGGGAGGAGGACGAACATGGTAGAACGCCATGGTAGAACGCCCGATAGAATCCTTCAAGATCACCCCAAACAGAGACTGCACAGTTTTTGTTCTCGGAGAACGTGCAGAACATCTTATGGAAGAGAAGAAAGATGTTCTTTCCTGCAGACACATCAACCATGAACTCCTAGTACAATTCAAAGCGGCTTTTCCCTCATGGTGGCAACTCCAAATTGAACTATATTGGTGACTACGGGGTGATTGTTGATCGAAGAACTGCTGCAGCTGCACACCTCACTTCGCTCATGGCTCATACCCTAAAGAGTTAAGGTAAGCCCAACGAATTAGTGTTTCTTAGCAAGTATTTTGTAGGTTTTATCACAACATTACTAGTCAGGAATAGACTAAATCAGACACAAACACTTTTTAGTCTTACAAGCTTAGACTATGTTCCAACATGTTTGGACATGTATGTTTCAATGTCAAGCAGCAACAGTGTGAACCAAATGCAACAAGATTGCCAAGTTGGTGGAGCAAGGCACTAGGTTGGAGGTCATCGCTAGTAGGTTGGAGGCCATCGCTAGTAAGTTGGAGGGTTGGAGGCCATTGCTATTAGGGTGGTTGTTCGCCTGCCAGCTCCGCCCGGTGAGCATGCGTGCATGAAAAAGCTAGATAAGTCAATCAAGATTCCAGCGTCAAGTCAATATTGGCCGATATCATGCAACATCATGCAACTATTTGATGATGTCGGTGTTATTTTTTGGGAATCATGGACTCAACTCAAGAATTCTCTTGGAGTCATTTGGTCCTCCCGAAGCACGAGTCAGTTGTTCACCAAACATCTCGGCGCCCAGTCCTACTCAGGATCTCGCCTCGGACTTGCCGAAAGGTGGCGAAGGCCACTGTCGAGAGCCTCCGGAGCAACAAGACTTGACTCAACATGGTCAATTTCTTCACAAGGAGAAAGCTCTCACCCCTCCAGCAATGGGTGAACGGGTCTTTGCTTTCCCAAACTCATCAGGCCACGGCTGATTCGGAGTGTGTCCCCACATGACCTGGCCGATTCGGAGTGTTTCACGCTTTCCCATTAGCAAACTTGTTTGATTTCTGACCAACGGCCATTCCCAGAGGAAAACACCACTTGCCCAAACACTTGACAGTTTCCTTGTGTGTTTGCTGAAATGCATTCCTTGTTTGCAAAGCGGAAGACCGCATTCTTGTGGTCTGCGGGTTTTGCCGGAGGTTGTCATATGATGTCATATATGCAAAGGCCAGTATAGTAACCGGTAGAAATTCCATCAATCCAACGCTGTTTTCTTTTTTGTCTAGAGTCTTGAGACACACCGACACAAGGCCCAAATAGGACACATGTAGCAAGTCACCAGCGATACATTGAGAATCATTAGGATCATCCAAACACCCAACCAGCCAAACAAGGTGACACGGACATGACGGACTCGGGCCGGCGTCGTGTGTTTCGGTTTTGTGTGGTTTGGGTGGATGGGGTGGGTGGAAGTGAGTGGGGTTGATAGCGCCACCATCGCGACTTTATTCAACAGCCATTAGATGTGTCAACTTGTCGAAGAGCACGTGTCATGTCCCGCTGCACTTGACCAAGAAGGACTTCAGCATCGCTGGTGATCAACGACTGGACTTCGTCTCCGGTGATCCTGCACCGATCGGCGATTTGGCTCGAGCAAACGTCCAAGGCTTCTGGGTCCCATCGATCGTGGACCACAATCCCGCTGCGAAATCGGACAGCGCGATGCTGTCCAATCGAAGAACTCCGATTGGCCTGCTGTGGCGCCCAGGGTCGAACACGAAGAAAGTGGGACGTGTGGCCTGCTGAACGGGACGTGTGGCTCCAACCAGACTCCAACGTGGCAGACTCCACGCCGGGAACCGCTCCGTCCGGGCTGGAATTCCAGGCCGATGTGCGAACAACCCAATGCCCAGGGCTCCAACATGCTCCCGGCCTAACTCCTCCGTTTCGAAGATGGGGAGAAGGGTTTTTGCTGGTTGGGGGTCAGTCGATCCCCGCCTTCTGAGGAATGGGTCAGGAGCCCTAGGGAACATCAACACCGACCGGCTGCCTCTAACAGACTTCGAATGAGCGGGATTGGCTGCCCCTTCACTTGTGGAATCTTCTACCATCTCTTACCTTTGTGAGCTACTTCAAACATAACAAAGCCCTGTGAGGGCTCATCACTTCTGAAGCAGGTGTTACGGTGTTACCAAAAAAAGCACAAGTCCCCTCCAATCTTCGCAGATCTCCCCAATCAGCACAACCTCAGCCAGGCCCATTTCAAGGGAAACGACGTGGTCGGCACCTTTTGGTGTCTCAGCCAAACCGTTTCCACGCGGCTCATGGGCCATGCGCCGGCCGATTCGTTGCTTTGTTGGGGGGTGCCACCCAAAGGAAGCTGAAGGATCCAAAAAAGGTGGGTGAATGTACTATGGCAATCTATGGCAAACAGTTTTGTTTATGTACGAGATTTCACCTGGGATCACCCTTCTCACCAGCCCAATCTTGAGAGGAAACCCAGAATGGTCCTTTGGAGTTGAGGAATGGGGTCAGCCCCTGCTCACAAATCACATTGTGGCATGTTTGTTCTACGGAAACATCAAGCACATGCCCTATCCACCGTAAAACGATGGTACTTAGTAACCATTATTTGCATTTATTTTTTTTGCAGTATGTATATAAGTTTAATATGACTAACTAATGTGTGTATATTTTTTTTTGAACGACGATGCATGGAGGGAGTGCCCTGACTGCCCATTAGAACTTGGTGCCAACCCCATGCGGACCAGCCGGTCACGACCTCACGGTCGCACGAGATGACTAGGCTGCTTCAAAACAGCAACAGAACGACAACGGAAACCGATAACGAAGTGACGTGGCCTAAGCACTGCTGTGTTACGTACTGGAGGCATGGACAGTAAGATATGCAGCCCAGCCCGCCGAGATCCGCAAGTGAAACGATAAGGTTACAAGGCAAAGGGACATGCGGTATAGGCTGTATAAGAGTTCTCTTTGCAATCCTAAGTGTTCTTCATGCATTTTGAGAGGCGCCCCAACTAACCACAGAGCATCTCAGAGGAGATTCACTCATTTCAGTCCGAATGGCCGTTTTCAGACATTTGCGTATCTATTTGGGTCGGTTTGGTGGTCCGATTGTGCACGCAAGTGGACCAAACATTATACAGGTCCGCAATCTATCAGCAAGAGTGAGTGGGTGATCAATGCAGTGGGTGATCTCGCGCCTCTGCTCCACGCAGAAACGGCGCGACCGGCGGGTGCTTTCGAGGTGGTTGGAGCAGGCCAGAAGCTTGGACCTCAGATGTCCTTCAATGCCGATGAGACCGGATGAAGATCAAATCCAAAGAAGACGGACGTGGGCCCAGGGTGATCTTTTAGAGCTTTCCCCCGCAAAATGACAACTTTGGTGGCTTCAAAGACAGATTCGATCAAACTCCACGCGGACACAGAGTTGCCGAACACGTCCGGTGGACTCAATCTGCTTGCCAGTAGGAGCTCCTGGCGAACGCCGGTGAGGTCTCCGGTCTCCACAGTCTATATCAACTGTGTCTCCGTGAAACATCCGAAAAGGACAAGTACGACTAGCTTCTTGTTACTAATAGCTTCTTGTTGCTACTAGTAAGGCACTTGTTACTAGAAGCGATGCACTTGTTCCTAGTAGCTTCTTGTTACTACTAGTAAGGCACTTGTTACTAGGACAAGTACGACATACTGGTGCAATGTTCTACACAGGCATCCTTTGCTCCGATAGCGATGCCAGCCCCGATCGTAGCGTTCTTGCTCCGATCGTGCAGTTCTACACAGACTCAGTGTGTTTCGGGCCTTGCCACTGGGGCTTGTTGGACCCACTGGGTGTGAGTTTCGCACTGGTGACAGCAGGCTGCCGAGAGATGTACCCAGCCTTCGGGGCTTTTTCTCAACTCCATGTTCCATCACTAAAGGCCTTTGCGAAGTCCAACGTATGTTTTTTTTGTTATGTTTTGTTTGATTTTTCCATGGTCTTTTCTCCGTGCGATCGATGGTGAGACATCCGCCTTCATCTCGATGGATCTCTGAGGACCGCGGCGAGAACAGCTCGGTATCTCGGACCGGATTCTGACCGGGGAGATTCCGTTTGGACCAGGAGGGTTCAGGAGAACTTGTTAATGACTGAGATCTATGGACCATGGAATCTTTGACGGAGCACTAGACGGAGCAGAAGAAGACGAGGTTTTAATTTGTCCTATAATGTCCTATATATGTTTGTGTGCTTTCAGTCCAATGCTGGCATAGTTCATTACAAATTATGATGATGTCCCCGCTTCTCACCAAATTCTGTGAGAACAAAGGTCACACAAAGTAAAACAGCTCTCTGAAGCTTTGGACTGCTTTCAGCTGGAAGGAGGTCTAGTGTTTGGATATATTTGGATATCAGCGACGAATCCTATCTCATCGTCATCATTCTACTTCCTGTTGTCGTTTGAACATTGCGAATATCTGACAGCTTTGCTTTCGACGTGCTCGGATCCGAAGCCCTGTCTTGTTTTTTGCTCCCCCCCAAAATGGTCAAACATCCACCGCCAAAAAGGGCCCGGAATTCGCCAGGCGAATTCATCGACTATGTCGCACAAGGCGCGCGTATCGTACGGCCGGCACGGCCACGACTTGTCCCCAGTGCCAGTGATGAATCAAGACACAAAAGGCAGGGTCGGCACGGTGCTGGAGAATTCAAAGAAGAAAACAAGGAAAACGAGGTTCCTCACGCGTGGAACACCAAGTGGACATATGGGCCGCTAGGGCGCCCGGAAGACGATGTCCGAAACAGGTGGGTTTTCCCACTTCGATTATTTCAAGGAGAGTATATAAACCTAGAAGCATTTGGGCAACAATAATTGTGCCTCATTCCAATTTGCCTGGGAGGATTTGCCTCAGGTATGAAAACAAGGATTACATGATGCTTCTACACTCCAACAAAGCAAATTTCTGGCGTTCACCCTCTCTTCTTTGAAGAAACACATTGAAAAAAGTCTTCCCTAATTGTCTGGCGTCCACAATTAGTGACTGTGTTTCATGTGCAAGTCCCATTCACCCATGTTTCGGTCATATGGGCGGTGGATTGCCCTGTTTGGTTCTTCGACACCGGGGCGGTGCCCCTAATCAGGCGATTTCTCCGGCTCTGAGCAGCGAGCCGACAGGAGGGCAGGCAGATCGAGCGTGATCGGGCAGGGGATGGGATTGTGATGGGATGGCCGGGTGATGTAACTTGGGCAGGTTGAATACCAGGGTTGCAACCCACGAAGGATCCTTTGGAAGGTCACGAACACCATGGATTAGGGTGGCAGAGCCACCCCAGTCTATTCCTTTCTTGGACAGATCTATTATTCTATTGCCCTGGCTCGAAACAAGTGTACTCGTATGACTCATGTGACAGAAACCACAGGCAACAGGGCAATTGAAAAGCGGTAACTGCAAAGACTTTACCACTGGCAATAAGCGGTTGATATAATCATGTTTTCCGAAGTAGATCTTTGTAGTGTGATGGGTTCAACATCCAGCTGTGCGGCCGTTTCTTGAGGCTTGACGGTTGACCCGTTTTCAGGGTTCTCTTACTGTAATCATCATGATCTAGCAGCTACTGGATGGTATTTTACCAGAGGTGACCCAGAGGTGACCAGACCTCAACATGTTTTGGTATATCTGACCAAAGGTCCAGACTCATCTCCTTGCTCTGGGTCTCATCCTTGCTCGAACCACGGGCGTGTAGTTAGGTCTGGTGGATCGCTTGGCCGCCTTTGTGACCAGGCGTGACCGACGTGGCGGCGTGCGTGCGTCCAAACGACGCGACCAGACGTGGCGTGTGTCGTTTGATGTGTCGAGCTTTGCACCTGGTCTTCACAGACATGGGAACTTGAAATACGACACACCCCTTTCGCCCAAGACGAGGAAAGAAATCAACAAGTTAGTGCTTAGAAGGTCTCTCTATTCATGCCTATTCTCATGCACACCAAAATCGTTTCAGCGGGATCAACCGGGCATGTTTCGCTACCGGCTGCCGGGTTGTGGGGTTTCACAACTTGCAATTCACGCAAGGGGTATCACCTCCAACAAAAAGCGCATGTTTGGCCAGTGGCCATGCAGAGTAGTATTCCACCAATACACTGTTCATGATCATATTACTGTAATATTTTGTTGGCTAATCCTCCGTGGCCATGCGGAAGAGGATGTTGCAAGTTTTTATGATGGTGTCAGAACTTTTGTGGTGGCATGGGGAAACCCAGCTGAAACCTGATGAAACGTCATCACTGTTTGTTATAAGAAAGCACGATGCTCATCAATCTGACCTTTAGACTCTGAACCCGCCTTTGAGCAGTTCTTGTTGGAGAAGGAGCCACAGCGAGTGCACCCAACGGTGCCCAACAGCTTCTGCAAACCGCTGTGCTACCTGGTTCTGCAAATCTCCCAAACCATGTATTGGTAGATGTTTTGCCCGGTCCTACACAAAGGTCTTGTGGAGGTCTCGTGAAGGCCTCGCAGAGGGCTCCAATATACTGCTACTTGGTCTATCATATTCTACCACGCGCAGTAATTATATTCAAAGGCAACATAAGGCAACAACATCTTGGGAAATATCATGTTGAGGCTTTGGCCATGGGGATTCCACCCGTGCTCCTTTGCCCATGTTTCCTTCACCTGACCCTGCTAGCTTTCGTCACCCACTCCTGGCATCAAGCTGTATGTACGGTATGATACCTAGAAGAGTTGGGACAGGCTTGCAGGGTCATGCTGGAACAGATACGTGTACGCCAACTAGCTAGTAGTATACTTATGGTCCCACTAGCTTGGTATAATGTCAACTTTATGTAGGCCATGGGGAAGCCCATTTGACAGAAGTACAATTCATGAACCGGATATCAAAGAGCATGAGCATGGCCTTATCGTGAATAATGAGGGTCCTACTGCAAGTCTATGTGAAGTTCCAATCCAAAATGCTCTGCATGTTTCATTTGTGCTTGAACAAACTGGCTTTGTATTGATCCCCACACCTGTCTTTGTGACATCCAGTAGTACTTGCCACATCACGAAAGGTAGCCCTTTAGGGGATACCTTGAGTTTGTCTTGCGAAGCAAGTGTTGGCACGTCCGGGTCTAATAATTGATCATTCAATTCAACCCCCCCCTCGAATTGATTTCTCAATACAGACCCCCCCCGCCCCCTTGGAATTGATTTTTCAATACAGACCACCCCCCCCTCTAAATTCAATTCTCTCCTGGAGAACGTCTTCGTGAGCTCTCATGATTTCAGGATAGTTGAAACCCTCTTGAACATTCAGAAAGAGTGCATATGAAATTCTAATCACGAAAGGTGTTCGCCGAGGGGATACATACCTAGAGTTTGTTTTGTGAAGCACGTCAATTCTCTCCTGGGGAGCGTCTTCGTGAGCCTCTTATGGTTTCAGGATAGTTCAAATCCTATGATGCTCCGATTCAATGCTCACCGATGATCTGAGCCATGGGGCAAGTTTGTTTTCCCAAGAATCTTTTTGAACATTTCGAGAGCATATGTTTGAACATTTAGAGTGCATATGAACATATATTTACGAAAGGTCGCCTCCGAGGGGATAAATCATGTCGACCATTGCATTTTTGTTCCTGCCTCTCGCGTTCTCTTCTCTTCCCGCTGTCCTACCTTTCGTGTCTCCCTCCTCTCAAGTTTTTTGGTACCTCTCAATTGAACCCCTCACAACAGACAGCGTATTTGTGGATATTTGAGGTACCTCAGGTGTGGACTTTACACGAGCTGTGGTGCACCTTCAAAAAATCCGGAGTCACCTCACTTGATGGGACCCGAAGTTCAAGTCCAACTCGCGGTCTTACCAGCTACGTGTCGCAGGTTGGCGTCGGAAAAGGAACTCCAGAAAGAGGAGGCGTGAGGTTGAACGGCCCCAAAAGGAGAGGTGGAGCGGCCCCTAAAAAGCCCATCACAATCCATCACATATGTACTTGGCATATATGATATGGCATCTAACTAATTTACATGGCCAGCCATGGAAGTCGTGCTCAGATTTTGTTTGGTGTGCGTGTTGAGCAGATTTGCATTTGTAGAAGACCATTCGCAAAGCAACCACGCATGGGTGCAAGAAGCAATCAAATTAAATAGTCAAACACATTTGGGAGCCCCATCTTCTCGCCTGCTCCATCCCGTGTGTTTGAAGGTGCCCTACTTGGAGGTCATCGAGGCCTATGCTGCTGCAAAACATCCACAAGGCTGGAAACCGCCGCATGATCCACGGATTTGATTGGGGCGGGAGTCTTCCACAGCCTCCAGTTGTGGTGGCTGGCACATGCTATTCAGGGATGGCGCCATCAGGGCGTGATGGGGCTAGAGTTGCTCATTACTGAATACTCTGATTTGAAAATCCTGGTGCAGGGTACAAGGTTTGCACCAGAAAAATCTCAACTGGAAAAAAAATAGTTCGAATACTGTTTTCCATTTCCGGCTCAAACCTTGGCCAGCCAAGGTTTAAACAAAAAATAAATCACAATTTAAAACGAAAGGGGCTTCCTTTAACTTTAGTATTGGAAAGCCTCGCACCATCTGTGTGAGAACCAGTGGCCAAAAGAAAGCATGTGCGCAAGACAACTCAATGTGCCAATAGAACTTTCACTTATTATGCTTTCTGCAATGGCTGTTCCATGGCTGCGCTGATCCTGCTGGGTACCTCAGTTTTGGAGTGGTTGAACAAAACCTGAAGTATTCAGACCTTTCAGCAATCCTATTCTTTTTGTGGTGGGAGCAATGCCGTGAGCTCAAGCCAAGCGGATGGTGCATGCAGAGCTTCACACGTTGTCAGCAAGATGGGTGTTTGCACGGTGTAGACGGTGCAGCATAGCTGGTTTTCTTCAATGGAAGAGTAACAAAAGGCCACATAGGTTCTCGATTCCCTGTGGATTCTGCTTGTGAATTCTCTGAGAATTAACACACTGATTTCCTTTAGTCTTAGAACCAAACCTCTTTTTGTGAGATCGGGATCAGTTGGACATGTGTGTAGATGGTGCAGGTCCTGGAGAGGTGTGTGCGTGTGCTGGGATTGGATAGCATCCCATCCTATCAAAGGGATGTAAGGTGGGAACTCATGCAACCATTCTCTGATTGTCCTGCGTGGAGACCGAGCATGACATCACAGCCAGGAAAAACAATGCTTGTTTAACTGATGGTCTGCACCATCCACACTGGGTGTAGGGATCTTCTTTTGGGAGCTCTTACCATCTAGTGTCTTTGAAGAGCATTGTGTCATCCAACAAGAATCCAGATCTTCAGATAAACCATGTCTATATCAAATCCTTTTCAATCAAACCTCAGAATTTACTTTTTGGGGCTACCGAAGGGGACCAGGGGACTCTCCACAAGGAGACCAGTTAAAACATAGAGGACCTAAGGACAAACTATGACAGCGCAGCCAAAGAATAAACCATCATGGTTCATCCAATGGTTTGCACCAGCTACACGGGGGGTAAGCAGCTTGCTTTGGAAGCCTTCCTCATTTAGGGTCTTTGAAGAGATGTGGGTCATCCAACAAGAATCCAAATCTGTAGATGAAACAGCCTATACTGTATAAAATCCTGTTCAAAACAACCCTCAGAAATGCATTTTTGGGGCTGCCAAAGGGGACCCCCCACGAGGAGACCACAACATTCAAAACATAGAGGACCTAGAGACAGAACATGACAGCACAGCCAAAGAATATTATTCAACTGATGGTCTGCATCAGCTACACTGGGTGCAAGGATTTTCTTTGGAATCTTTTCCCATTTAGTGTCCTTGAAAAGAAATGGGTCATCCATCCAACAATAATGAACAAGTCTATATAACATCTCTTACAAAGCTACACTGAGAAATCAGTTTTTTGGAGCTACCGAAGGGGACCACTCCATGAGGAGACGGTAACATGTACAACATAGAGGACCTAAGGAAAAACTATGACAGCACAGCCAAAGAATAAACCATCATGGTTCAACCAATTGGCGGCACCATCTACACTGGGGGTAAGCATCTTCTTTGGAAGGTTTTCCTCATTTAGGGTCTTTGAAGAGATGTGGGTCATCCAACAAGAATCCAAATCTGTAGATGAAAAAGTCTATATAAAATCCTGTTCAAAACAACCCTTAGAAATGCATTTTTTGGGGCTGCCCAAGGGGACCCCCCACGAGGAGACCACAACACTCAAAACATAGAGGACCTAAAGACAGAACATGACAGCGCAGCTAAAGAATAAACAATCATGGTTCAAGTGTTGGTCTGCACCATCCACACGGAAAACTGAATATCTTCCTGTATGTTGAGTTGTTGTACTGTATTTGATTTCGTATGTTCCTCCTGTGGACAACAGGAAGAGAGGTGTGGATCACAGTTGTGGGTGACAGCCCAGTCGGCCTGGAAGTTTCCATTTGCATGCATTGTGGTGGCAATCCCTGAGAAGGATGCAACCAGTTCACCCCGTGGTTGTGGGCAAAGGCTCCATGGCTTCATGAGAGCATGAAAAAGCACATTGACCGCTTTTGTCTATGTTTGATTGCACTGTTGCCGGATTTTGATAGGAGGATGAAGATGAGGATGAGGATGAGGGTGGGGAGTGCTGTCTTAAAGATTGCAGAGCCATGCTTGTGAGCATATTTGCTGCAGTGTAGATGGTACTAGCAGCTTAGCCAGGCAACATATAGATGGTGCAGCGCATCCTTCTAGGTTCCGGAAGCTGCAATTAAACACATGTTTCTTCCCACCCCACCTTCTTGAAATGCTGTAATCTGTGGCGCGTTCAAACAGATGGTGCGTGTAGGTATTTGTTATATAAATTGGTGGAACATATGATGTGTTCCACCTCGGTCATTTCCACCAGATTGGCCTAAACAAAGCTGTCCTGGAAAACATACAGAACAGTGTCAAAACAAGAACATGTCTCGGAATGTGACATGCCATTGGCCAGCTCTGATTCAGATGATGCAGCCCTTCCTTCTAGGATCCTTGATCCATATGCCTTCCGGTGTGCTTTGGCCTGACTTCTCTCAGGAAGGAAAGATGGATCCGGATGTTCTGGAGTTGCTGAACCTGCCGAGGCCTTCAATTCTTCTTTTAGGGTCTGTCTATATGTGTGTTTTGGGACTGCAGGGTTCAACAACAGATCAAGAAGCTGCAGCTGCAAAACCCAAGCCTTTGGGGCATTCACATCCTTTTATTCCCTAGATAGTTGTTCTTCAGGAGTATCTGCAATGTAGATGGTGCATCGTACTGCCTCCTTCCTATGCAGAAACAAAGCCTGCTGAGGCTATTTTTTGTTCTTCGTGATTTGAGCACTCTTGGAGTTGTTGAATCTGCTGAGGATTCTTTTAGCAGGTTTGATGTTGGCAGAAGTAATTGCTAGTCCTGTAGGTGGTGCAGTGTGTTTGTGGTAGATGACTTGGCTCCGGAAGGAAAGCCGGATCCTGATGTTCCCCGAGATGCTGGGGCCAAGCCTGCTGAGGAATTCAACACTTCTTTTTTTGGAGTACAATATGCATGCACATCTTCTTTTCGGGAATATATGTGCTTGGACTGAAGAAAGGATTGCAAGTCATAAAGATGGTGCAGCGTAGCCTTCTAGGTTCCTTGATTCCTTTCTGACATCCTGTCTACGCTGTGACTTCTGTCAGGAAGCAAAGCCAAATCTTGATGTTCCCGGAGATGCCAAAGCCAAGCCTGCTGAGGAATTCATGATCTTTCTTCGTGATTTAAGTCCTCTGGAGTTGCTGAATCTGTTGAGGCATTTCTAGCAGCAGTGATTGTGGCAGAAGTGATTGCAAGTTGTGTAGATGGTGCAGCGTGTTTGCAGTAGATGACCTGGTTCGTTTATGCAATCCTTTCTATTTTGTGATGTCTGTCAGGATAGAAAGCCGGATCCTGATGTTGCCAGAGATGTCGGAGCAAAACATGCTGAGGCATTAACATTTTCCTTTTGGGAGTAGAGGCTTCATTCACATCTTCAGTAGTTAGAACATACTGTCGGTACATATGTGTTTGGATTGCAATGGTGATTGCAAGTCATATAGATGGTGCAGCATATCCTTCCAGGTTCTTTGATTCCTTTATGCCGTCATGCCCACGTTGAGGAAAAGAAAGCCAGATTCAGTCAAGTTATGTAGATGGTGCAGCGTGTTTGCAGTAGATGACTTGGTTCATTTATGTATATAATCCTTTCTATTTTGTGATGTCTGTCAGGATGGAAAGCCGGATCCTGATGTTGCCAGAGATGTCGGAGCAACACATGCTGAGGCATTCACCATTTCCTTTTGGGAGTAGAGTATTCATTCACATCTTCAGTAGTTAGAACATACTGTCGGTACATATGTGTTTGGATTGCAATGGTGGTTGCAAGTCATATAGATGGTGCAGCATATCCTTCCAGGTTCCTTGATTCCTTTATGCCGTCATGCCTACGTTGAGGAAAAGAAAGCCAGATTCTAAAGCCGAGCCTGCTGAGGCATGCTTTTTTGTTCTTGGTGATTTGAGTATACTCTTGGAGTTGTTGAATCTTTTTTAGCAGGTTTGATGGTGGCAGAAGTGATTGCTAGTCCTGTAGGTGGTGCAGTGTGTTTGTGGTAGATGACTTGGGTCCGGAAGGAAAGCCGGATCCTGATGTTCCCCGAGATGCTGGGGCCAAGCCTGCTGAGGAATTCAACACTTCTTTTTTTGGAGTACCATATTCATGCGCATCTTCTTTTCGGGAATATATGTGCTTGGACTGAAGAAAGGATTGCAAGTCATAAGATGGTGCAGCGTAACCTTCTAGGTTCCTTGATTCCTTTCTGCCATCCTGTCTATGCCGTGACTTCTGTCAGGAAGCAAAGCCAAATCTTGATGTTCCCGGAGATGCCAAAGCCAAGCCTGCTGAGGAATTCATGATCTTTCTTCGTGATTTAAGTACTCTTGGAGTTGCTGAATCTGTTGAGGCATTTCTAGCAGCAATGATTGTGGCAGAAGTGATTGCAAGTTGTGTAGATGGTCAAGCGTGTTTGCAGTAGATGACTTGGTTCGTTTATGCAATCCTTTCTATTTTGTGATGTCTGTCAGGATGGAAAGCCGGATCCTGATGTTGCCGGAGACGTCGGAGCAAAACATGCTGAGGCATTCACCACTTCCTTTTGGGAGTAGACTATTCATTCACATCTTCAGTTTGAACTTACTGTCAGTACATATGTGTTTGAATTGCAATGGTGATTGCAAGGCATGTAGA